TATGTTATTTCCTCAACTTATGGCGTAATTGCCTTGACCCCTAATTCTTCAAAGGAACAGTGTTCTGAGCACATTAATTATTTACTCTGGCACATTACCAATATCTTCTCTTATAGTTACATGTGATTGTGTGGATAATAAATTACCTTGTTTCCAAAATCATTACCTTCTCTAGATTGAATAACATGAAATAGAACAGAATGCAAAATATGTGTAAACATTTTAAAAGATTTTAATTACAATATTCATTGACATTTGAAAAAATACTTTGATTTAACAATGGAAAGTTCAGGTTGGAAAATGCTTATCAATTCGTCATAAGGTGTTTGTAGGCCAGTCTTTCTACATGAATTAACATTGAGACAGATGGCAGCAGGTTTTAAAGGGCTGTACACAGTACAATTGGTTTGTTATGGCAGTCATTATCTGTATAAAATGACTTTGGAATCTCTAACATGGCAGGGAAATCTTTTTTCTTTCTTTAGGAAACAAATTGTGAAGGTCTTGTGAACTGCCATATGATATTTTTACACTCTGGGGACATTTTTATAAAATATTCCTTTTGCAGAAGTAAAAAAATTCTTAAATTTTACCTCTTCTGCTTTGAAATATAAGTTAAGGAATTAAAATCACAATTTAAGTTTATGTTCGGAATGTCAAACAGAAAAATAGGGTGGAGTTAACTTAAACTTTAGCATAGCGCACCAATGGAATCATTTTATTTATCAAGCTATTTGTGAATCTGAATGTTTTTAGAAAATATATCAAACATTTAAGTTTGTGTGAATGGTGATTTATAAGGAGAGGTTTTATTTGCAGCATTTTCAGCCCAAAACACTTTCCAGTCAGAAATCATGGTCATTTCTTTATTTAGGGTTGTACAGGACAAGATATGGTAATAAGATATTGAGTGGGTATGATTTTTAGTCCTTGTTATGTTTGTATAATAGTGAGTAGATAGGTTTTAAGTCCTTATTAAGTTTGTATAATATTGAGTGAATAAGATTTTTAGTCCTTATCGAGTTTGTATAATATTGAGTGGATATGGTTTATAGTCAAATATCAAGAGTGCCATTACCAGCCTCTTTTTGCCAAACATGAATACTTTCTTCCATCAGTCTTTCTGTATGAGACAACACTTGAGTCCTCCCCAATCTCTCTGTATGAGACAACAAGAATGCAACCCCCCTGTCTCCCAGTATCAAGAGTGACCTCCCTCATTTTCTCTGTATTAGACAACAAGAAAGCCATCACAGTCTCCCAGCATCAGACAACATGGGTGACCTCCCCCAGTCTCTCTTAATTAGACAACAAGAATGCCATCCCCCTGTCTCCCAGTATCAGACAACAAGAGTGACCTCCCTCATTCTCTCTGCATTAGACAACAAGAATGCCACCCCCCTGTCTCCCAGTATCAGATAACAAGAGTGACCTCCCCCAGTCTCTCTGTATTAGACAACAAGAATGCCACCCCCTGTCTCCCAGTATCAGACAACAAGAGTGACCTCCCCCACTCTCTCTGTATTAGACAACAAGAATGCCACCCCCCTGTCTCCCAGTATCAGACAACAAGAGTGACCTTCCCCACTCTTTCTGTATTAGACAACAAGAATGCCACCCCCCTGTCTCCCAGTATCAGACAACAAGAGTGACCTTCCCCACTCTCTCTGTATTAGACAACAAGAATGCCACCCCCCTGTCTCCCAGTATCAGACAACAAGAGTGACCTTCCCCACTCTCTCTGTATTAGACAACAAGAATGCCACCCCCCTGTCTCCCAGTATCAGACAACAAGAGTGACCTCCCTCATTCTCTCTGCATTAGACAACAAGAATGCCACCCCCCTGTCTCCCAGTATCAGATAACAAGTGTGACCTCCCCCAGTCTCTCTTAATTAGACAACAAGAATGCCACCCCCCTGTCTCCCAGTATCAGACAACAAGAGTGACCTCCCCCAGTCTCTCTGTATTAGACAACAAGAATGCCATCCCCCTGTCTCTCAGTATCAGACAACAAGAGTGACCTTCCCCACTCTCTCTGTATTAGACAACAAGAATGCCACCCCCCTGTCTCCCAGTATCAGACAACGATAGTGACCTCCCTCATTCTCTCTGCATTAGACAACAAGAAAGCCATCCCCCTGTCTCCCAGTATCAGACAACAAGAGTGACCTCCCCCAGTCTCTCTGTATTAGACAACAAGAATGCCATCCCCCTGTCTCTCAGTATCAGACAACAAGAGTGACCTTCCCCACTCTCTCTGTATTAGACAACAAGAATGCCACCCCCCTGTCTCCCAGTATCAGACAACGATAGTGACCTCCCTCATTCTCTCTGCATTAGACAACAAGAAAGCCATCCCCCTGTCTCCCAGTATCAGACAACAAGAGTGACCTCCCTCATTCTCTCAATATTAGACAACGAGAATGCCATCCCCCTGTTTCTCAGTATCAGACAACAAGAGTGACCTCCCTCATTCTCTCAATATTAGACAACAAGAATGCCATCCCCCTGTCTCTCAGTATCAGACAACAAGAGTGACCTTCCCCATTCTCTCTGTATTAGACAACAAGAATGCCACCCCCTGTCTCCCAGTATCAGACAACAAGAGTGACCTCCCCCAGTCTCTCTGTATTAGACAACAAGAATGCCACCCCCCCTGTCTCCCAGTATCAGACAACAAGAGTGACCTCCCTCATTCTCTCTGCATTAGACAACAAGAATGCCATCCCCCTGTTTCTCAGTATCAGACAACAAGAGTGACCTCCCTCATTCTCTCTGCATTAGACAACAAGAATGCCACCCCCCTGTCTCTCAGTATCAGACAACAAGAGTGACCTCCCTCATTCTCTCAGTATTAGACATCTAGTGATCCTTCCTCTGTCTACCTATATCAGACAACAAAGTAGATAAGAGTTGCACCCCCTCCCCAGCCTCAAGTTTCGTGACGTTTGTGGTGATCATTCACCCATGTCATGCGTTGTATCAGTTGACTGAGAGTAAAAATTACATGTCGTTATACAATTAAAGTCACGACAACTAATTTTTTACCAATTAACAGGATATGTTATGTATTTGCCAGTTTCTAAGGTCCATTTTCGGATTAATCACAGTATATATGCTCAGTGTTAGTTACCTATCAATTCTTATATTATAAAGATATACCTGTATGTGGAGACTAACAGCTAATAAGAGTTGGTAGGAGTGGATTATAGATTAAAAACTTATAAGGAAACGGTTATATTATGTAATGACCTGAGTTAATTCTATATCAGGTAATCATAGTCCAACTAAAATATGTTAAATATAACAGTAAACACTACTCTGTAAATAATCCAGAAATCATTCAAGTCCAAGAATGAGGGAGTGACTTTGTTAGATCAACAGCCATACTTCCTATGTAAAAGCAAAAATAAACATGTAATTGACCTGGCTTTGATTTGAAGTTTAATTTTAAAATTTGCAAACATTATTTAACCTATAATGGATGTATCAAACGATATACATTAAAAAATAAATCATATTTATCTTGTTTTTCTTTTTATTGAACAATAATATTTTGTGAACATGTCCACGATCTACTCCTAGTCTGTTTTAACTTAAAGCTAAACGTATCACTGGTATGTTTTTATATGGCAATTTATCTCCTTCATTTCAACGATCTCCTTTGTACGTACATGGTTTTTTTCTATATTATATACACCTGACATATTCTCATACCTACAAATACGGGTCAGTGATATAACATGTCTGAGAATGATTTCGTTAAGGAGCTCTTGACAATAATGCTCCAAAGGGTGACTTTACTCAAAGTGTCTCTTGTCTTTAAAGTGTACAGCTTTACATAGATACTTCAATGGGATTTTCTTACGAGTCATTTCATCTCAATTTTATTGAATCTTGAAAATGTATTGATTTTGATCTCAAAATTACGCCAAGAGCAACAATCTTGTTTCTATAAATTACTTCAATTTAAGAGGAGCTATCAAAATGATATTTCATGTAATTTTAAATCATTTTTATTATATCTTTAATTTACATTCTGTAATCATAATTGATATGTGATAGAAACTTCAGGTTATTGACTTTAGTCTAATTTCAAATGACAGAAATTTATGATCTTAATGACAGGGTCACCTAGGACCATATCTGAAGATCTGGCCTTAATTTACACCATTATTTGAATGTTTACTGACATTTACTGCCAAGTAATGTTGACATTTTTATTACACATTCTACAAATATATAGTTCATACCTAGTGTCTCAAAGGACAGCATTACTCTTTCAGGGAGTTTGTTTTAAAAAAGTACCATCTCATTTTTAATGCAATTTCCCCATTTATTGCATCTTAATTTTAAGTTAAAAAAACAACTTGATTTTCTAATCTTCAAATATCTCTCTCTTCATCTAATTATCAAATGTAAGAATGATTTTGAGTATGGATTAGTTCAAGTGTTGAATGCTTTTTAAAAAAAAAACTTATAAGGACATAACATTGCTAAAGACCCATGTGTCATGTCAACACCAGAACAGATGTATCTGAATAGATTAACAGATTCACCATTACTAATGAAGGTTCAAGTAATTGGAATAAGAAAATATTTTATGTTAAGTGTGTTCAATTGGATAAGTATTTGTAGTACAGCTCTATGGTATTGCCATTAGGTTTTCCCCTCTCCATCTCAGTCTTTCTAATACCTATTTTCTATCATCACATTTATCACCTTTACAATTCAGCTTTCCCATTAACAGGAGGATTGAATTAATACCTATTTCCCTCTTTCTCAGGATTGTACAAACAGCTACACACCATTCAATTTGTTTCTCTGATTTTTCTCTCTCCAAGCAAGCCTCTTCCCCCCTTACTTATTCCAATCAACCTTTCCTCTTATTGTTCAAGCTTTTTAACATTTTTTTAACTTTTTGGTCGAAACATCTCTCTTTTTATGTATCACAGTCACCCATCAACTGTTTATTTCTATTTTTCTTGTATTTTTTAGCGACACCAAGAAGCTTGGATCAGAATTTCAATAATCCAACCAGTAATGTTGGTAATTTCCGTTTCAAGGGATTTGTAAACAATAACCTTGTTAAACCCACCATTCCAAGGACAATACCTGCTCAAGGAATTTTAACAAGTGCTGATGATCCAAAGCTTGATCTAAGTAAGTACATCACAGTTCTTTTTTGTATTCATTAGTTCATGGATTTTCTGTATTGTAATTTGATATTAGATTTAATCAAATTTCGTTGTCTCTCAGTTCATTAATTTGACAATAGTAAACATCTTCATTTTGATCACGTGACTTTTTAAACGTCTTGATCACACAGTACCCCTTTTATATATATATTATCATATATTGACATTCTTTTATTAAATATTCCATACTTATTTGAATTTTCTTGAGTCAAATTGATAAATGCATTCAACCATTTTAGGAACATACATTTATGAATATTTTGTCCTTTATTATAGAGCAAAACATACAACCAGGTTTTCATGTTTTGTTTTACTTATCATGTAGTTATTCTCACTGTCGAATACTCATAAATATTACAAAGAAATGTTCGATCCTGACAAAGGGAATTTTGACGAACCAATCAAGCACGCTGACCTCAGGTTCTATATTAGGGTTTAATGAGCCGATACACGTAAAGGAATTCTAACATATTGATGTGGATAAATAATTTAAATGATCGATTGAACCTTATCAGAAGTACATTATACATGTCTTCATCAAAAAATATTAAACGATGATTTGATTGTTGGTACATCTTTTTATCTTCTTCTTTTTTCATTGAACTTTGGGTTTCTAGATCCGTTCATGAATTAACCTTATACATTAGGAACGGCGCACCGACTTTCTCCAGTGATCACAACTAGAAATCTCTGTTAAGGATGACGTTCCTTATAGTCGGTACAGCAATTTTATATGAACCGGGAGAAATGTTGTGTCGTATAGACATGACTTTAGTTTTTGACAAGTACTAACCCCATTAAGTCCATTTAATATAATATATCTTACAAACAAGTATCAGTTTTGCTTTTGAGTTTCTCATCCCAATGATCCATCCGATAGCCGCTCTGTAAACTGTACATCTTATACATTTGTATGACCTCCCGATGTCTGGTTGAGATATATAGCTGACTTTTCCGATGTTCTACAGAAGCGATATGCTTGACATGTCTATTCTAGTGCTATATTTGTGTTGCTTTATCGTTAACCGATTTGGTTCCAATCATCGACATTATCACACAAGTAACTACTGGATCTAATTGCAAAATGGTATCATTTACAAAGTGGAGTATCAGGACTATGGATGAGGAATGAACGCTTTACATCGAATTTAAGCACAACTTCAGACAGACATACTTCTCCATATATCGAGGAAAAATTCAGTGACATGGATGATTTTATATCGATAGAAAACGGTAGTCTAGTAACTGATGGCGAACCACGAAGAGGAACGTTGGTGTCTTTTCTCGAGTGACAATCCATCCTAGATCACAGAACCACGGACTTGGATGTATCTATGTCTAAGTCAGCGATAGAACCATTCATAATTAGGAGAGACATCGAGATGGCATCGAAACACAGAAAAAAGTTTTTGATCATGGAAGATGCCATTTTGTCACATCGTAATTGAAACAATTTTTCACAAGAAATATCTATAACACGCTTTGTTGATTTTTCAAGTTAATCACGGTCCCAATTGCACAATCTGTTTGATTCATTTTTCTAATTAACGAACAAATCATTTCTTATTTCAATAACTATGTTGGTAATGTTTATGTCTCATGTTAATGTCACCGGTGTGAAATGAGACATACTGTTTAGTTTAGTCGTAACTGCATTGGTGTCGAGGAAGCTGTTTCTATACAACGTATTACTAGTAATATCTTGGTTCGTTGTCATTAGACATATTTAAACTCAGTAGCATTATTTATACAAAGGAATGTTTCTTAGGTCCCTTTAGGACTAGTATGTATATCTGCTTAACATTTCTAGTATATACAGTATATTTAAATAGTTACAATTTGACCTTCACGAGGTCATAATTCCTGTATCTATACTGTCAATAGAACAGTCTATAGGTCTGAGATAACCATAGTACATTTAACGATACATTATACAAACATTTTAATGCGACTGTTCCTATAGGGTTCAATTGCCAAGGCCCCGTCACTTAAGTTGTAGATACATTCACATCGGTAAAATACTACTGCAAGAAGTGGTTGAAAAAGATAATTTTTTTATAAATATTTAACAATATTGCATAGGAAGTTTATACATGAGGGGACATGGAACAAGTATGATAATGACAAAGTTGTACTCCATAGACATTGGCGTTGGTTATTATTATTTCATGAACTTACACCGAAGCAACCTAAACAGGCTTCATTGAAGTCTATCGATTGGTATGGTAGATATTTTTAGTGACATTTAAACAGGACGACGATTACTCAGGTTCTCATTATATGGAACATGAAGTAGAGCGAAAAGAAATTTCAAGTGCAGTTTTCAAAATGGCAGAATGTTGATAAAAGAAAATAGAGCAGCGGGCATGCCTTGTTTTGCGTTCTCAAAGTAAATTTCTTGTGGGATAATCCTGGAACAGCGTGTTGTTCAGAATGCTTTAGAGGTAAGATGTGCATATATATTAGAAACATGATCTATTATCACTTTTACAGAAATATCATCACCGAAAAAATCTGTAGGTTCTCCACAAAAGTCAATAGCCTCTTTACCAAAATCAGTGGCTTCCCCATCAAAATCCGCAATACCATCCCCCGTCAGAGCCGCGGAATCACCATCTAAGCCTGCCTCCAAAGGCTCCGAACAAAGCGTTAATCATAACATGGACGGTATGTCACAGTATGCCATAATGTTTTATTTTTATACATTTTCCCGTTGATAATTAATTACATTTTATCAAATTTTACTGCTTTTAACTTTTTGGTATTTTTGAAATCACCATGAATTTTTAAAGCCAGTTTAGTTTGTTTTCTGATAAGATGAAAAAATAAAGCACTTATCTATTTTGTTATCAAAAAAGACTATTACCACAGACGTACATATTTTTCTTCCGCAATATATATATATACTGTAGGTATTTTATACTTAAATCCATTGCCTCCGTGTTTCCAGGGCGACATTCACACCAGTCGTCACATCGTCGTGACCTTACGTCAAGGTCATCACATAACAGACTCCAACAATCAGATCAAAACGGTAATTTGATGATGAAAAAATAGCATGGTAACGCTAATATTATTAATGATAGAAATAAAAACGTAAGTTGCAGTGTTACTAAATGGATAATAGTAATTTTGTGACCGATTTTAATACAAATGTAACAGAATTGTGGTTTCTGTGCAGTGGTAACTGACTGCGACTGTGCGTAGCTGCAGTCCTTTAAACACCTGTTTTCAAATGCTGTAGACTAGACAATCAGAATTGTGAAGGTTGAATAACCCGTAGTTTGCAAAGTGTTCTTCATTGTATCTAACCTTATTGTTACAGTCTCAACCATATCTTGAGTGACTAAAAATAAGTGGAACAGCATCACATTTACAATGTCCCATATGTATGTAATGCAACACTGCCAGAGATATACTCAAATACCATGTAGAATTTCTACGCGGCAATTTTCTTACGTATATCTTTGGATTCAAGGGTATTAGTCTCATATAAAGATATTTTGATTTAATGACCCTTAGAGTCACCGAGTGGACCAAGAATGATAAAGCAGCTTTATGATATATCTCCATTCATGTTATTCTGTTATGTCTTTTGTACAGGTTCTCTACGCATATTGTAATTCTCCTATCATGAAAATAATATTCATGCTGCATTTCATTTTTGTATTGATTTCTTTATTTTACAGTCCAGACATTTATTCTGATTGTAGCCATTTTACAATATTTTGTTTCGTGTATAGTTGATCAGTCCTAGTCTCCCTGCAGAAACAGAGCTGTCGACTCTGTACTTACAAAGGATCATATTTATTCATCGATGACAATCTTACAAATGATATTATGTTTCATGTCTTTGTCACATCATTACAGGTTCCTCAAGGTTTAACGCACAGCCTCAAGCACCACCCACCCCTCCCAATCACCTACCACCACCCTTGGAAATGAACGGTTACGATAAACAAGGTCCTGCCTATGATAGACCAAATGGCTTTGGCCCAACCACAAATGGTTATAGTTTAAATGGCCAAACCCATGGTAATGGTATGTTAGTCTTTATGTATTCAAACAGTGTAGCCTCCCCACACTCATATCCACTGCAACACCCTGTAGACTCTCATCTGATACTGTCGTCCTGTAGTGTGTTATATTTGAATATATCAATCATTGTCTTCTGATTTCTGTTCTTTATCTACCATATATTACACACACTTAAACTCACGTAAAGGCCAATCTCAGACATATCATGGACCAATACAAGTTTTTTTTATGATAATTAGAATATCATTAGTTTCAACGATTAGGCATTCATCACTTCTGTCCTTCAGGAAATTATATCATCCCTGACAAAAGTTTGGCATTAAATGCCATAACTCATTATCCATTGATGTTTCAACTAAGGAAAACTTGTAAGTGAATCACAATATATGACCTGCATGTTAATCTTTATCGTATAAATCTACAAAGTTCAATGTAAGGGTCAGACGCAAAGCGTGATCCCTTAATGATCCCAGGAAAAGTGCATCGATGATGCTGATTGTCTTACGAATTGTCTGTAAGAATATTAAATTTGGTAAAATCCCCTTTTAAAATCTTTCTTCCTAATTAGTTTGGTATAATCGTATTATTTAACACGAACTCATGAAATTCATTACGTTTGAACTTTTATCTTAAATCGATCTGTTGAACGCTTTTCCTTCGAGTCTATGTTTTCCACGTATAAATACTATACCAAATACAACGTTGGAAGCTATATCGTCATTTTCCTAGCTGGATCTTTGTATATGTCTTTAAATGCAAACATGTTGATGTGTTTCGATGAACATTAGTAATACTAATTAAGCAACATAATTCATTTTGGAGAGGTTATAATCTTTGTCTGAAAGTACAGTACTGAACGGTTGACTAAGTCGGCATTTATTGCGGGTTAAATTTACATCAGTTAGGCATCACACTAATTCAGTGTGCTATTTTCGTATTGCCTTTTCGAAGGTATGTCATTGGTAGCCTTTCTGTGAGTGTTTCGCACAAACATTAACCCACGACACCTGCTTTCTAATACCATTTCAATGTGCCTGCTTGTCAATCACTAATATTCTCACTTTGCAAAAACATATATTCCATTCCCTTCTTAATGCCTGTGTACTTCATCCTCTCCTTGACTGGTGTGTGTTTTAAGAATTATCACTCAGATGACACAATAGTGTTATTAGCACTTTTCACAAAGCGGTTATCTAAAGCAATTAACACCAACTTGAACTCAATCGAGCATAACGCAGAATACATGTGGTGTCACACAAAACATTGGTATTACTCTGTAACATACTATTTCTTATTTTTAGTCTAAAACTACATCTTTCAAACTGATTTTACAACAAATAAGACTTAATGAATATTTCCCCGAGGAGTATTGACTTGTTAGGAATTATTTTGGACCGATGCCGTTTTAATCATTTCGTCGGTTCAAGTGTTAAAACGATTATTGTTTAAATTCACGTTCATTATTGTAACAATAAATACAACAACTTTTGATTGCTGAATGACCAGTTTGAGAGATGTCTTGACTGTTCATGTTTATGTCAAGAGCATGCTTGTTCACATTCATACTTACTAATGCTGAACTGTTGAAAACTCTTTAATTGTCGATAAGATGTACAAAGATATATATATCACTGCATTTACATTTAACGTACATATTTGCCCCTAAAAAGATAACGTGCGAAATATTACATTGGAATCATAATCATATCAGCGTTACATTGAAGTACGCATGCAGAAATATCTTGGAGCAACTAACAAGCGGTGTAGTATATAAATCTGTATAGTTGGTTATACCTCCATTATTTTACTAATAATGGTTTCTTACACTAACTGCTTATTACCCATTTAAGGTGTGCATAGGGTATTCTTTACCTGTAACAGCACATTGCCTGTAATTTTTGTAAACAATACAGCCAAATAATATAGAATTGTTTACTTTATTTAGAGATCATATGTGTTTTGTTTAAGACTGCTTTTGAATCAGAACAAGAAGTTTGTGATAAGATCGATATTGACGTTTCAACTGTGTGAGCAAATTAACTATATCATATTATGATACATTTTCTTATGTTAATTTGAAGGAAATAAATTAATATAAACAAACGCGATTCATCGCTTTAAAGAGCGGAGGAAGCCGTATCTGAGATTGTCCGTTGGTCTAGATATGTAAACAGGATTTCTATGTGTTGTCATCACAGTACAAGGTCGTGAAATTATGTTATAAACCCGTTTATTGTTTGGTTCATTACTCAACATTATCGCATATGTGAATAACAGCGTAGCTGTGATGGACAATTTTGTAATTTTTATCAAAATTCATCATTTTCAATCCTGTTTAAGAGGAATCTTTGATTGTCATAATTGATAAAATAATCCATCACTGAATGAATTTCAGCAGAGATGTTCATAGATCATTTGATCGTTTTACCATTTTGTTTACCTTAACTTAGATTATATGGTCGATAGGCGCTATAAATAAGCATTATATATACAGAAGTATTAATGACGTTTCAGCTTTAATCAGTCGGTTTTTATTGACTAGACTAAAGATGTTAATTGACCATTAATATCGATGTCGCTGTCATTCACTGGGTTGTTTGTTTATTACGCTTGAACATGTTTATGCTATTAGACCTGCGATGTCGGTATTCTCCATAGAACTCCGTTCTCTAAGTAGTTAAATATACCGTATTTAAAAAATAACGTTTCTGTCAGTATAATTACATGAAACTGTGTAGATGAAATTGATAGCATTGTTGAAAAATAGCACGCCATCGATGTTCACATGTGACGTAATTATTTTCTTTTTAGGATAATTTCATGACATGAAATATTGATAAGATTGTCAACATTAGCTATGTAGCAATACAGATACCTAAATTTTAAAACTTTTATTTTTCCAACTTAACAAAGAAGATCTTGTTAGTTGAATTGTTGGCACAGTGTAATCCATTTTCTCTAAGTATATTGACACTCGTCTAGGTCAATTTTTATTTTCCTATTTCCGCATCCTGTTTATGTGGACCTAGGGGGTTTAGGGGGTTGGGGTAGGGGGGATGGTCCATAACATCACGGAAGAGTCCTGGAAGGACTAAATGACTTTATGATGTAGGGTTTCTTTAATTATTTGAGAAATGTAAGTAATTTATTATTAAACAGTCAAATGAAATAAAAAGATGCTGTTTCACATGTGTATCTTTTGTACAATACTTTGATCTCAGGCTGGGCCAAGGAGAGACCATCACCAAGACACGATAGCCTGGATAACCCCCTAACTTACCGTTCTGTAAATCAGCACCAGGGTAAACACTGCCTTTACTCTCCCTATGTCATTGTTTTAACGTTGGTGGTAGATAACACTATTTCTAAATCACTATACGCAGAGTGTTACATCTAGTAGCCTTTCAAGCACGATCTATGCTTTCCTTTATGTGTGCTGCACAGCTAGCCTTGTCTTGTAAGTTTGTAAGTAAATACATCCAATGAACTGTAGGATTATCACTAAGCACATAAAGATATGTATGTGTTTTGTTAGAGCTATCTCTATATACTAATGTTTTGTTACTGGCTTCCTCGGTCCTGTTGCATGTATAGTTTTAAGACAATCTACATTGTATGCGCTCCTATAACGACATCTTAGGTATGTGCCTTTAAGTAAATGTTATCTATGGAATTACAGTGTTTGTCATGTTACATCTTAATTTCTTTTGACTTATATACAATGTATTTCTCAATTCATTTATACATAACCATACCTTCAATTTGTTTGAATCGTTTTCTTTCCAGTTTGTCTTGTTGCTGCTAGAATCTTGCCGATCTTTGCATATTGAATATATTTCTGAGTCATGTTGGTTTTAGGTATTTGGGTGGGGTAACGTTCGTCTTACCTCTTACCTTAAACGTCAGTGATTTTTCATGAAATACAGTTTTTCAGGCTCACATAATACTAATTTGAGGAAATAATCATAACTATTGTTTGACTAATGAAATAACAGATACATATCCTTATTGTTTAGCTACAGTACTAATTCATTGATTAAATTTGACATCTACTTGTTAAAGTGACCTTATTATAATTTAATTTTAAAAAAGTTATCTTAAGACAAGATTACACACTGGTATTCATTATTTGTCTCATTAGATGACGAAAGTATGTCGGATATTTAACGTAATTTAAGGTATATTAGATTATTATAATAAATGGAAAATTTTACAAATCAGTTTTTTTAATATCCAAAAAAAGGAATAATTTTTAAGGGGTTCAATTTGTTGTATAAATGATTCTTACTACTTCTATTGCTTTGCTAGCTTTTTAACAGATGCTTAGCAATTATTTTGGCAACGTTTATGTTGTACGTAATTGTTTATATAATTAGGATGATACTGAATAAGTATTTCGATGTTAAATGTTTCTATTAGATCTCGATTCATGTATGTAATTTTTAAATACAGCAAATGTGATAAGACGTTTGTTTAAGTACGCCACGATGTGAAAATTATTGAAATTATTTCATTTAATGATAAGAACATATTGCTAATACCTAGTAAAGAAATAGAATATTAGTTACATGCCATGTTTAAACGGACAATACAGTTATATATATATATATATATGTTTTATCAACAGGAACAGGAAGACATTATGTCGATGATTATGAAACCACTCAAAATATACCTATAAGAAATGCACACGCAAAAACGTGAGTTTTTAGAATTGATTGAATTGAAGATGTGTAGCTAGATTTCTTATCTATTCCTTAATTTTGAAGAAAATTCTTGTCCATTTAGGTCTTGAAAATGTTAAAAGAAAGCTGAAAATATTTTGTGTAGGAAGCCTGATAATAAAATAATAATACGTTATTTACATTATTAATAAGATATGTATAGTTACATGTAACTTTTTGTTATCAGATGCAAAAAAGATATGTGATTCCGACTGGTATCACTTAGTGTTCTGAATAGCCTCGTTCCACTATTTTTCATAATATTCAGTTTAAAATTGCATAATTTTATCTAGAATAACATATTTGTTTAAGAATGTTGTGCCAAATCATTTGGTTTTATGTCACACAGACAAGAACAAATAAAAAAAGAAGCACAGCAGTTCTTAGATAGACGAGACGAGGAGAGAAGGTTCAAAGAAGAAAGTGAAAACAAATTAAGGGAGAAACACGAGGAACAGCGTAGGGTATGTACACAAACCTACCAAAGAATCGAACACTTCAGTAAACCGCCATACCTTTCATTTACAATCTACAAGGATGATTATTGTTTATGCCAATCGTCACAAAGAAGACTAATTTCAAAGTACAATTACATTATTTTCTTCTTTTTGATTTCAGTGCTTATTTATTTCCCCGTACCTATTTGATTTGAATTAGTTCTCAGCAAATCGTTATTTACCAAACGCATTTAAAGTAATATATCATATTTTTCATATAGACACGAGAGATGTTGGAAGAGAGTGGACCTTTCGGTAAACCTCTACTAGGAGCTGGAGGCCCAAATGGGGTGAGATTTAAAAATTACTCTTTTTCACCCTATACTAAGTTATTCTTCCTAATTATTTTACTAATACATGGTTTTATAGGTAAATTATTTACTGATTATTTTATTTTGATATGCCTTACTTATATCATTTTACTGTATATCGGTATGGCAAGATAATTGTAGACTTATTAGGCGTTTATCTATATCATACATTGCCTTGATATATGGCTTTAGTGTAAATCATAATTAATAATAACGTTCATCCCATTTGAGATGTAATTTGGAGATCACAAACAGAGGGGAAAGAAGATAAAGTATGCAAACACGAGAACTGCAGAGTGTTTGCTGTAACTTAATAACTTTTCCTTGATTATATTCCTCGTTCCCTGCTAGCCTTCTTAGGTATGCGTTTTTGTTTTCTCAATATTTCGCATGAATGAGAAGATGTGATAGATATGAAAGGAAAATAGCTTCGTCTAACCCTAGAGTGAGGCAAGAAAATACCACATCGGTAGAAAGCGTGGATACCTGTCAAGAGTGAGAGGAATACAGATCTTTACCTCCTCTCGTTGAGGCTGTAATAATACAGTATTATTTTGTTGCAACAACATAGAGAGTATGATTGTTTATAAAAGAGATGTGATGATCCAGTCAGCTTCAATTTACTAACGACTCCTTAAAAAGTATAATTATAATATCTGCTCTGTTTCCTTGCCAGAATGAGTTCAAGAAAAAGAAATTTACTGAAGAACAGTTTAATGGCCGTGAGCAGCCCAGATATCAAATCGAGCCGGTAAGTCTGTTTTACATATATTTAAACTTGGGTGTTGTCCTAGAAAGATTGAACTTGATCTGTTGTTTTGAAGACTATCAGAACTGCATGTTAGCCAAAAGTGAATTACCTGTATTGAAACACTTGAATTCATATGGTGTGCCGTGTTTGGATATAATACTGAGAAAATCCTGACCAATTCATTTTTCGGGTCGGTCGGAATCCAATATCTCCGCAAAACCTCATTCAAACATCAACATGCCAGCCATATGGTGACCATTTTGTAAAATGTGTCTGTAATCCTGATTAAAACATTCCTTCTTAACTCTCCCACTGGAATTCAGCTCAAACTTGAATGAATTTATTTTGCGATGGTTTAAACCAGGTGGTGTTATTTTTCGGTTTGCTTCGAAATCCAATGTGGTCGTGGGAACATTAGACACTTTTTGCGGAAATGTTGGGAAAACGAAATGAAATGCGTTGTCTGCTGATTGTTTTGATAATTTATTAATTGTTCCTATTGCCAATGTTATCATATCAATTATTACTCTTTATATTCAGATGATTGTTAAGGTCCATGTGTTTTTCGGGGGAGGGTGTTTTTACATCGTTCTTACTCGAGGATATTTCAGTTTTTTCAGTAAAAACAAATGTATTTCAAGAGTGTGGCAAACATTTTTTAAAATCTTTAATGAGTGGAGAAATGATACACCAAATTACCAGCGACACAAGTAAGATATATTTGTTATTACTGAAAACCACTGTTTAATATTCTTTATATTATCATTATTTGTATTTTTTATCAACCGTGTTGATTGGTCAATTCTACAGTATGAAATCTCTCCTCTGTTTTCATCGTAGAAATTCTTATTTGTTATTTTTTTATTTTCACAAAAAGAGAAAAAAATTGATATATCTACCACAATAGGCAGTGCTATTCAACTCCCAAGACGTTAATTGATTATTCAAATTGTTGTATAAACATAAATGTTAAACCACACGTGAAATAACAGTGACACGTTTTAATTGGCTAACAAAATGAACTTTAACCGAAAGAGCGCTTCACGCACTCACAGAAGGCAAAACGCTCAATAAGTATTTTACGATCGTGATTGGATTTCTTTTCTGTTCTTGCTTTGAAGACAAATCATTTCAATTATAGCTATGGTTTGAAAAGCGTTATAATATCTCCATTTATTTCTGAACTTGTCAGGTTCGCATTTCAATTGGAAACTGTTCACTAAAGGTCATATCATTACACACCAATTGTTGATGTTAACAAAATGTGGGCACAAAAATAGGTCAATTTAACGTCTGAATTGCATTTTTTATTGTGGTAGAAACAGGTCGCTAGTTTAGGGTCGTGGTATATGGTATTTCTTCCACTCGCGTTAGTCAGTTTCGAAAAGTTAACTCGCGTGATAGAAATGCCATATACCATTACCACTTATTGTGTAACCTGTATATATATTCACTAGTGAAAATGCAATAAACACATTTCATTGACATGGAAGACATAATTTACCAAACATAACAGAAAAGGTCTTTAATTGCATATCTTTTTGGTCGTTTGTAATATATATATTAGCACACAATGCGAATTATACAAATACAACAAGAGAAAGCAAAATCATGTTATTTCTCAAAACCGGGATAAAAAGGATAACCATATGTCAATAACTCAAATATGGCCGAAACGTAAAACTAATATTTTTCTTAATTTTTCTTATCTACTTCATGAAAAATAACTGCTGGTCCCTACACGACGACTTATAAAAATACACCAATATCGTGTTCGTAAGCTGTTGATTCCGTTGGAATATTATTGAGTATTACGAAAAATTCTCTGTTAATAAATATTATTATATATCATTGATAACTTTATTTACCGTTTTTCTCTTGTTGTTTTTGTATTAGTGAGGACAAAACTTTACACTTTTTTCGTCTAATTAAAACAATACGTCGTTTCCGTGATACAAGCATAAACGACATTAGCGGTATGTAGTACTGTATACAACAAGGACATGGATAATTCTTGTATGAAAATATATCTTCATGAGAATGGTAAAGTTGGACGGAAATGGATAACAGTTGATATTCTACACGGATTACATGTACCGACTGACTTGTTTCATCTGATCGACATTGCAACTGTGAAAACATCATATAATTTCTTGTGGAATATGATGAAGGTCACCACCCATCAAAACGTATTAGTATGTTTGCGCAAGTAAAGGCTGTCAGATCCGCAACACCGGAAACGACATATTGTTTTCTCTCATTTTCCCCTCCTTTCTTAAATCATGACCAGTTTTTACTGTTACATTTTCCGTTCTTTTCTCTTTCTTCTCTCTTTCTCTAACACGCTCTGTTGATCTGTCCATTACTCCTACATTGGCTTCTTGTCACCACCTCTGCGACTCCTCTTTGATCTCTTCATCTTTGATTGACTTCTGACCTACCACTGCAGTCCTCTGGATCAATCACGCACAGGTTTCAGTTCTGGGACAGCTTTGGCCGCCCTGGCCATGGCGCCCCACTTAGAACTGATTCTGGAAATCTAAAGACTCATCTTGTTGGGGATGTGATCATTCGTTTTCAGGATCGGTACGTTCGTGATATCGAGAATCATCGTCGGCACGACAGACCCCCCGAAGAGAAGAAGAGATATTTTGATGATTTAAGTAAGTTGCAGTCATAGAATATGCCTAGAAATGATAATTAAAAAAAACCCAGATAGTTTACATAAAAAAAATGTATTTGGCCATATATCTCTTGTGCCTTATGGTTATACGTCATATTGTTGAAGGCATAAATGCTGTTTGAAATTTCTCCACACACAAATGCCAAAGCCGGATATCACTGCTAGATGTTTATAAATGAGCTGCTGTTAATCAATTTCGTGTGCTAGATGAACTTTTTGATGCGATTTAAGGTCTTCTGTTGTCAAAATTCAAGTATAATGACTGTTTATATGCTAGAATATTTAAATGATGTAAAGGCGTTTAATGCTATTGCGCATGCAGGTATCATAATTATTGAGTCTTTTAAGATAGATGTACATTTATATTAATTTAGCTGCCTATACATAATTTATTATCTAAACTTCTGTCATTTTTTTCAGAGCGACAGGAGCAAGAGAAGAAAATGAATGGTCATGTAAGGGTCATATCACTTGTACTTCAAGTCAGAATTTGGTATATCTGTACATAACATTGTAAGGTCGTCCTGTCGATTTGTAAGAATACAAAAGTAGTTCGGGGAGGGGTATTGGTGTGTTAAACAGTATTATCGCACACGTAAAACAACAGATACTGTAGTCGTTATTTGTAAACTTTTGTCTGAAATCTACATATTTTCTAAACGTTTGAGCAAAACTTCCTAACACTTCACAGATAATACAAACAAATATTGATTAGACTAAATTAGCTAAATTAAAAAAAAAGCTAATATCAGTTCAATATTCAGTGATCACTGAACGGCTGATCAATTCAACGGTTATTAAACTGTTACCTAGTGAAGGAAAAGTTGGTTCTTACATGATAAGGGAGATAACTTTTCGTCACGAACTAAAATTATACGCACTGGAAACAATTTGTCAGTAATACGGCGAATTACGTATATTTGTCAGTAATAAGAATAAAGTGTATTTTGCAGTGCTACAAAAATACACAACTTATGCCTTTGTCTTCACCTATGTTGTTTAACCGACATATGTATGTGTTGGTTTGGGCAGATATTATTTGCTTTCCTCTTATTAGTGTACAAGTGTTACTTACTCTCACGTTCATCTCAACACTAGCGTCTCCATCCTCGATACTCCAGGGGTAATGATCTTTTTTGTTCACTGCACCCTTGGAACATGGCAAATTTGAAAGTTTCATGTGCGATACCTTGTGGACAAAACGAAAAGACTAGTTTAATCCTTTGATGTATATCAAACAAATATCGAGGTCCCAAAACGGTGTATTGTAATGGCATTGAATTTGAGTGTCGCTTCTTTGTTATCTTCAAAAGGACCGTACCAGGCTGTGATTGATAATGTGTTTTCAATGGAGTCAATTAAATTGCTTAGCTTGTGCATTCAATTCTGCAATGACATGTTTTAGAGGTACATAGAGTGAAAGTGAGCGTAACTCCTGGAATATCGAGATTGTAGCATCCCAATAGCGTTGGTTGTAGTTAGTTGTTAATTGTACCATTTCTTGTGTATTTTATATTGCAATTATAAATATATATATATATATTTATCATTATAATTGATGTTGTAGGTAAACATATTAAAGTGTATTTTTTTTCTCATATGAAATGAATGCTGACATAAGTATTAACGTTAATTGTTATCTACATCAGAATTAGTTGTTGATGAAGTTAGGATAATTTGTAAATAGACACACTAACTATATGTTTGTCGCCGTGTGACTTATCATGTCACTGGTGTAGGGTTGCACTTTGATTTCTGGCATTGTGTGGGGCTACTAACACTACAAGCAGTGCATATACTGAAGAAATAAAACTTGTCAACACACAACTTAGGGCAGGAATTGTTTTATATTGTGTTTGCTTAGTGCTTAGTATCGTTATGCAATTTTATTTGGTAAAAAGCTATTTCATGCACTTCCATGTTCTCTACAAGACAAATTGTCTACAATTTTTCCATCTCATTTCTGGTATTTAAGTAAATTCATTTCCATTAAGTCACAGCGCTGTCATGCAAATGAAAGTTCATTCATATATGAAGTGAATATGAATTTTCTCCATATGATGATGATGGTGATGATGGTGGATGCCGCTTTCTAATTTGACTTTTGGTTTTATGACAAATGATAATGTTTAACTGACTTGTGCTATGACTGTATGTTTTAATAAATGCTATTTATAGAACATACCATAGTATAGATATTTGGATAACAGAGTATATCGCATGCTATTTTTAGTTCATGTTCTAAGAAAATAGTCTTTGAATCGATACGTTGTTCATTTGTCATTTATTAAGTAATGCCACACCCTTCATAATATAGCCACAGGTCATCCTCCGAAGCATCTGTCCGCCATATCCATGTGGTAATTCCTCTTTATCCTTATATCTGTATTCCGTCTTTCGTGTATATTTTTCTGTTTGCATTTACCTTTCCATCTTTCTATATCATCAAGCATGTGTCTGTCTGTCAATGTTTCTTTACCTCTTTTCCTTCATCTTTCTCTCTTTCTTTCTCTACTTGTTCCATCTGCTGTCTAGTTGCCTTCTCCCTCCAAGCCCATTGGGTTTAACTATATGGATTACTTTGGTCGGTCTGGTCCAGGAAGTGGCGCCCCAATGGTATCCGATTCAGGCCATGTCAAAGCACAATATCAATGCAAGGATCCCCTGATATTCTTTCAGAACCCAGACATGGCCAGAGAACAGGACCACGGTTTGGATGGCATGCCGGCATTCAACTCTCCGGGTAATTATGTCTGATATGTTTCCCTGCATATTTGTTTTAATCCGTATTACCATGACAATATATATGAAATTTCCATAATTTTCAAGGTATATAGGACATTTTGAAACGTTTGCTACTTTATCATTTGTCACAGTTAATGCTTTGTATAATGTTGCAACAGCATAAACGTTTAAGTTTGTTCCTCACTTAGCGCGGTTTGATTTTTGTTCCGCCTCGACATTTATTATTGCATACATGAAAATATTCAGTGGCTTTATCATAGTGTCACCTTTGGAGATATGACTAATTAATTCTATGATAACAATTACATTAGGTCTAACTGATGTCAATTTTAACAATGTTGCTGATTATGGTACATATATCTAGCATATTAAGTACGACAGCATTTATACCGTGTACATAAAACATTTGACAACACCAGGAACTGGATTTCAATGACCTAATTCCATATAGTTTTGTGGAAACTTCTGGCAATAAGATAATCACCTCTTTGTGAGGTAAAGCACACTGTGCAAAATTCTATAACATGGCAGATATACAAGAACGCTATTCTCTTCGCTGCACAAGCCAAGAGTGGAACTATCCTTTTGAGTTATTGAACATCTAATATATCTTCTCTATGAGCGGTATAGTCTTGTCAGTGTAGTAACGATACTTACATGATTTTACAGGTCGGAACGGCATGAGTGAAAGACAGCGATATCATAATGTACAGGAGAGTCTTAATCAGGTATGTGTGTGATTTCAGAATAAATATAAATATCACATGTCATGCATGCCCTTGTCTTTAAAGTGGCCAGTTTATCATTGCATACAAGACCCGTTGTACGTGGTACACTATGTCCTCACTCAATTTGCTATTTAGAGTCAAACGTTATATCGAAATTATAATTTTGAATCCTTTTAGCGATTTAGAATTGAATGTCAGTTAAGTCTGTTTTCAAACACACACTCAAAGATTTTGTTGGTATATATTTATTATATTATAGAAATAAAGATTTTAAAGTGACATTTTTCGAAGGCGATTGTAAAAAACAAAATGAAATAGCAAACTAATAACATCTCGTGTATATAATTTTATCATCATATTTTAATATGGTTGTCTAGAAACAAACGTCCGTCTATCCTGTTACTTTTGTTCTGTGGTGGTAGGGACCAAAGATATCAACTAGAAGAAAAACGGCTATGAATTTACTTCATGATTTAGCTTTGGCACTGTATTACTTGTAGCCATAAAACTTGTTCCAAGCCATAATTATGTTTTTTTTTCAATAAAGTTTCGAAAATCTATCATAAGAGAGTAAAATATTAGCATAAGAAAGATTAGTAGTGCATGTATGTAAAAGGGACAATATTTCCATTCTAGGTGCGGAAGGAGAATGAAATGTTGGAAAAGAATAGCCCTGATCCGTTTACAAATACAGGTACGTCTTGTAATATCTAACTTCTATTGTCTCTCCTCTTTTTAAATTCACTCTTCACAACAGGATCTAATTTTTAAAAAATATATTTTTATATTTCTGATAGCACTATATATAGTACTATGTATTAGCTACAGATCTAAACCGCCATACAAGAAAGAATAAACAATATAACTGCCGACAGATATCTTTTCGCGTCACATCTTTGAGAAGGGGAAAGTCATGTTATTAATGAGGAATTCATATTAGAAAAAAATTGAGTGTCTTTATTTTAAGTCGGTGTAATGCGTCTACGCAAAAACTAAATAGTTATGCAGTTTTACTGACACCTGGAACACATCGGCCTTTCATTTGGAAAGGAGTTGAAGAAATGCCGACAGTGTTGTGAGTGGTGTTATTTCATGATTTTCTCAGTAACGGTGGAATATACTTCTGTTAAAATTCATGACTAGTTTTAAACGTTTGATATGATAAGATTTAGATGAATTAGGGAAACAAATGTTATCTCAGCATCAAGATGCACTTAGAAGTAATGATTCGAGGAAATATGATTCTAGGAATCTGTAGTCTATGTATTTACTTGTTACTGTATTAATGTGTGTGGCATTTTTACTCTCTGCAATGCATATATAGGCCATACACTACACGATCGCGATAGGAGACTCGTCCGAGCTTGGGACACGTTAGAATTGTCGAAAGCTCCTCCATACAGAGGTATCCATAACTACACATGTATATGCCATAGTTTTGTGCGTGTATACTATAGACAGCTTCTATTACAGTGTAGCTTCTGCAGTGTAGAATATATTGTTATTGGCTAGAATGTAGATAACCAACAATGTTGTAGACGCTTAAGAAGCAATAAGCAACAAAGGGTAAATTTTCTTATCATTAAACATGCTTTTATTTAATATTGATATAGCAGTGTAAATGAAACGTACAATAGAAGTCTTATCCGCAGCTTAAGTACAATATATATATATATAAGTCATGTGTATGGGTTTCCGATGTCATGGACATCGTTCTTGGTATTTGCATGTTTTTCGTCAATGGAATGAAACGAAATTAGGAAATAAATTTACATATTGCTGTTTTTAATCGCACTACAAATTCACATTTTTCTAAAATTGTCATACTGAATCAATTATTTTGTCCAAAATAACGATGGAATGTAATGCATTGATTGGTTTGGATAATATTAAGCAAAATTCAGATTCAAAGTTTTCAAAGATTCTTGTTCACATGTTTCAAATGACATAATTGTTCCTCCCACGTAATGATGATTACTATAATCAATTTTATTTACCAGCTCTTCTCTAAAAAATCTGTTATTTGACAAGTAATAGGGATTACATATCTCGTAGCTAACATCATCTGACAATGAATATTGTGCATAAAATAATTAACAGTTATCAAAAGTTAACGGCATTATAACTCAGCAGGTGGAAAATGATTCCACGTGAAAAATCCATCACCTATTACCTCAAATAAATGTGAATTACCAATAATGTTTTGATAATGGATAAGGAACATGATTTTATTTTGGGTATTGAATGAGGCCTAACATGTCGATAACGAAATATCCCATTATATAACGGTCATTATTTTTGTTTCCATTTCAGAGGAATACCTGAAACAAAAAGCGGTAAGTGAATGGCTGTATTGTATATATCTAAAGTGTTTTTTTCATATTATGATCGTCTATCTGTTTTCTCTTCATCTATGCATTTACACCATTTCGAATATTAGTTCGGTTTTTCAAGCACTATCCATGGTAAAAAGTTCTCTCCATTTCCATGTAGATTTCTGTGTTTCATGTATTAATTACAATTTTGTAACTTAATTTTTCTGGATCTATAACTACTTTATGAGATATATTATTATATTTATACCATTAAATCCACACGTATATGTAATTGATGTGGTATTTCTGGTTACATTTTCGCTCTTAGGTACATTAACTTCAAGGTTTCACATATCTCAGTTTTGCTCATCATATACCTATCGTACTATATCATATTATTTTCAATGAAATGAAATCAGGGTACAGATCGTCGGACAAACCGTTCCCTTTCAAAAAGTGTAATGGTGAGTGGGTTGCGAGCACATTCTTTCTGTATGTCATATATCACAGTAATTACCTTATGATAAACTTTTCCTTTTTGTTATCGACTGAAAAATGATGTTTAGAATAAGATAAAACTACTGTTTTGTTCATCTGAATATCTCAAATACTTCATAGGATACAAAGGGTTATTTGTTTCATGAAACTTTTTCGACACCGTTTTTTAACTGATTCGCATGAGACACCTTTTAGTGGTGCTATTTCAAAGCGGTACTGTATTAAGCGATATAAACTATTCAGACGCGTTATCTTATATCTATTTCATTATTATTATACTTGTTTTATTAAAAAATAATTTCACTTTTGTTTGGAAGCGAGTTCATTCTCGATCACTTATGTATGGTATTAGTAGTCCTGAAAGACATTGCAGTCTCCGAATGAAGACGTTAAACCCCATAATCAAACAAACAAAGATATCGTGATATCGGTGTATTAGCCGCTAAGACAAACCTGTTACTGATTGCGATAAATCAAACAATAGTAATCCTTTACTTCCTTCGCCTTGATTTTAATTCATTGCTATTTCAAGGTGGTTTGTGAAGACATACTGAAAGCATGTGTTGGGAGATTGGAGCACATTCACTTTGTTATATTATTTTATCACCTGCATGCTCATCTTCTTCATAAGGAGAGGCAATTAAAATTGATGTAACATAACTTGTTCAAAAGCCAAAGAAAAAAGCCGACACTGATAATATATAATGTGGCAATGGTATAGGCGTTCCTACATACTGTTTTTGTATTTACAGCTTCTATATGATTTGCATTCCAATTCAAGTGAAATGAAAGCAAAAATAAAATGTGGAGTTGAAAGACTTTTACAAAAATATAGTGGAAAAAGTTACTTGTATGACATTACATTTTTCAAATACAAGAAGAACAAAGTTGAAATAAAAAATATGAATATTTACATTAAAAAAATAAAATAATGATAATTCTAAGTTGATTAATATGCTGTTAGTGCTTTTTAAGTCTAGGTGGTTTATGGAATGAATTAGGCCCGATTCAAAATCATTAGGATGGCAGATATCGACAATTTTTATCTTGATATAGTAAAGTATTCTAACCTGCAATTAATTAATCACTCGATTCTTCACTTCATGTTTGATTATCCTGTATACACATTATTTTGACTTCACGTCCTCTACTTCACTATTGTCATTCTCTTAGATGATTCCGGAATATGCCCCATGGGGAAGGGGCATAGGGAATCCACATAGAGATTCTGCTGGTAACATCGCTCGATACCCATTCGCGTTGGGTAAACCGCGGGAGGTATATTCGTGTTCAGTCTAACATGTTCATTTTCAGTGACTAAGCTTTGGTGTATCGATTCTTATTTGGATTACTGTAAATTACTCGCATTCCTCGAAACATAGAGGTTTCCTATGGTTAATATTCTATGACTGAAAACTATCTACCATTTAGACGTTGATGGTGGTTCACTTGTGAATTAAAAACGACAAGGATAACGGGTAATTTACAGTATCACGTTGCTTTGTTTGATATATTGATTTAAGTTTTGTTAGCTTTGTTTAAGATGTGTAACTACTGAGCAGTACTTCAATATTATTGTAGCACTTACTGTTTTCTTCATGCTATCCAAACTCATACGGAAATTGCTTTCGTTGTTTATGTGGTAGCGTTATCAAAGTGTATTATGGTTAACAGATTTTGTTGACGTGATTATTTACACTAACTGGATAAGGAAACGGAATATGAAATCGTAAAAAAAAGTTAACGCAAATTCAGAATTTTACTTGTATAATTTCTGCATGTTGTCTGTATAACACATACTATCAGATTCAACTAAAACTGATGGCTACCCGGTACATATTCAAGTTGTGCTTTGGTGGTGTTGTCTATAGCTTTGTGCACAAATTAGGCATTGGACATGCATGGCATTTTGTTGCATGATTATGTACAGTATTATACCATTCCCTTAAATGAAAACAAAACAAGAAAAAAAATCAGTTGGTCAGTAATTCATTCTATTGTCTGGTCGACATTTTGGATCGCTGTTCGGTTCACTTTGCTTAATAGATAACACAACTTACTGTACACAAATCGGTTTTGATAGAAAGTTTTAATTTGGTAAATACGGTGTATTATGTATTGATTCCATTAGATCAGATAACAGTTAGTTCAGTCCTTATCATTTACGATATTCAAAGCTATCCAAGTTGGCCATAAAACCATAGGAAAATAGATTTGAATCACTGATAGCCAGTAATACAAAATTACAGTGTTGCATTATATAAAGAATTTTGTTTCATGCGGTGTCTAACATTTATAAAATTTTGTGATCATAGCAAATGATCGCAGTATCCATGGTTGCAAGGTATGTTCAGTTCTTATAACGGCACCGTTGACATGCAAATTTGAAAAAGAACATATTTTATACGAATTATTGTGCGATTGCTAGATATTCGTAATATATTCAATTATCCTTAGTTAATTTTCTTGAAATAGGGTGAAAATGTTTGATAGATATTCCGCACCAAAACTATTGTTTTTGTATCATTTGTGTCGCAGAGATAACTAGTGGAGTTATTATTAATGACAAATTATAACACAAGACTTATCAAATGCCTTCATTTTTTGTTATCTGTTTGCAGGGATTTGCACCTGAATACGGACATTTTCAAAAGAAAGGTATAAGCAGTCCTAAATCAGGTTAATATTGCAGCTTTCTTTCTCTAATGTTTGTTACTATATATAATAAAACCTTGTTTTCAAATAAGGTCCAGTGTATGGGTTAATATAGCTAAAACATTAAAAATATAATTGTGCGTCCATATTTACATATCTGTAATATCATATTTATGTATGTCAAAAAATGTCTAACAATTCGTCTACATCTTTGTGAGAAATACGTTTACCACGTCAAAGAAAATCACATTTAAGTTCTGGGGATAAGAAAAGCAATAACAGGGGTTGAAAAATATAAAGCAGGATCATTGATTGTTGAAACTGAAACGAAGACTTTCGTATATTGTAAACGTGCTTTGGTTTCTCTTTTCTCCTTCTTTGTCTTTGACCTTTATAAACTTTATTCCTCTTTGGAAGTAGCTGTCTTTTAGATTATTTACTGGTGAGTTAAACATATATGTATATCTTTCAATATGATTTGATCAGATTGAATTTTGTTTTGTTACTGTTTTGCAGTGAGTTGTGTCGACTCAATAGATTACACAAGGTTTCGTTATCTATATATTAGATTGATAGTTATCAGTATATTTCTATTCTCTTTTTTTAACATACTAGATTTTCCCCTTAAAATCACTGGAACAATGGAATATGATAGCTCAAAGAGTTTCTTTACAGTTAACTGATCGTAACAAGTACACAACATATATTATCTCTTTCCTTATTTTTGTACATGTTTCAAAAACAAAATATTTTGCTAAATTGTTATGTGTCATTTGAAACAGACGTCGGAAACAACAAGTCGAAATGAACCAATATAAATCTTTAGAGCATGTTGCCTCTATCATTTATGTGATTATTCGATTATATAGATGCCAGAAGTACCACAAACGTGGTAGATGTCGGAGTAAATAAGTTGGTTTTGTTAATGCACTTGTAGCCGGATTATACTGTTCAACTAATCAATGATAAAATGTTGTCAATGCAAAATATGTACGACAGCATTAAGAATTTCAACGGTCGATTCCGTACGTTTTGTTTCACACTAAAGTCACTAGATTTATCAAGCTCGTGTATCTTGTCATTCAATACGTACATAGTGTTAAAGCTGCTATTGGTGATGGTAAAATGCGAATATGTATATATATATATATTTATTATTGTGCTTTTCACATACTGGATGATATTTTGCTTTGCTATAAATATTTTTGGACTTTGGTATATTGAGTGCCTTAAGTAATATTGTTCACATATCGTTTGGGAATAACAGATTGTATCTCTAACATTTTTTTCTCCTGGTAATTGATATATCAGTATTTTCTGTAACACGCTCACATCCATTCTCTACAATGATTTGTTGTCAGTTATGACAGCAATTATTTTTCATATCAAATTCGTAAAAATGACTACATCTATTTCTTGATATGTCAATGTCGTTTGAATGAAGTATTCGATGTCTTCGTCAAAATAGAAATATATCAATTGCAGCTCCGGACACAAATAGCAAATTCTATGAAAACCCATACAACAATATCGGTAGAGGAGGTCCAGAGCTCAAACCAAACAGAGAGTGGCAACTACCTGTGTACTATCCATTCGGAAAAGCAGGTGGTGGTGCACCAAGACGGGACGAACAGGGAAACAGGATCACACAGATTCAAGGTCTTATGGATAGATCGGTAGGTGTTATCGGTGGAACATTTGTAAACAATAGTATGTTAATTGTAAAATATTGATACAAGATTTGTTTATTTTGCATGAAGTAATGATAACACCAACTGCTGTCACGTATAAATAATCAAGGAAAACAATTGCTGTGTTGTGCTCAGATTGTATAACATAAATGAACTATGCTGTAGGTTTGAATTGTTGTGTGACTTAACCGTTGTGACGAAATGACATGTTAAATACTGACTAGTAATGATAGAACAGAAGCAAAGTTGATTAGTAACACTCAATTTCAGTTTCAATGATCGTTCTGAAAAGAACATTTTTTTTAGTCATGCAAATAATGCATTTCTTTATCAGTTAGAAAGTATTAATGTTTCATAAATACTACATTCTGCCTGTGGATATGTAGAAAAGTCAACTCCTGATACTATTTAAAGGTTAAAAAAAATTGTTTTTAACTATTTTTCAGATGCAATCATATCATGCGGTAAACGTTGTTACTTATGGGAATATCAGAAATCATTAATATGTTTCATCAATTCTGATCTATATCTGTGTACCGATTATCTTTGCACTGCCCCATTTGTACATTATTCCTTACTTACTTAAATTGGCCGCCAGTGTGATGTATGCTTCATTTTGATGTGACTTACAGGCTTTCGACAAAATCATATTTGCTTCATCAAAGACATTCCTTGGTTGCAAGTTTAATATCTATATTTATAGAACAACAAGTTTAATGTTCATGTTATGAATATTTCACTACCATTTCATTTGATCAGAATACGTGACCAAAGAAAATAAAAATAACTAAAAAAAAAAAAAAAAAAATGCGGCTAAACATTTTTGCTGGTTATCAAAATGAATCATCAGATGCTGTTCATAAAATGATAAATTGGAAAACATCACATTGTCCGGTCAAGTCGTGGTTTTCTTTCGACATCTCACTTTCTGGTGTTGGACGTTAATTTGACTGGAATACGAGCATGTTCTGGCCTTCTCATAAAGTAACCCCACTATTACAGTGGATATTAACAGTTATATGTCGGGGAAATGTTATTTTGGCTGATTTTTGTCCGATTTTGTCTCGTTATATCTTTTATAGAAATTATCTGTCTTATTCGAAAAGACTCTTTTGTCTTGAGTTTAGGTGATCTATGTGTTGAATGCGAAAATGCTATGAAACATCAATGGAACCATGAGATCAGTTAATGTATGATGTACAGTTGTAGTATATTAATATTAAGAGACCAGTAATTTATTTACTAAGTTTTGAATATTTGGCGTACATTTCTTCTACAGTATGTTGAGGTAAGAGGCAGAGACACTCTTCGCCTTTTGTTTTTAAGCGTCATATATCATTGTGACTAGATAATCTTTTCGAACAATGTATGTTTAATTACTCATATTTAAAGCGTTGTATTTTTCAGTAGTTTTGTCTATAGAATTTTAATTAACATAATTAAAAACTTGTTTAGTATATCTGTAAAAAAGGCATTCAATAAAACCTTTTATGTGGCATGCTGGATGAGATGATGAATATTTGTTTGATTGGATCTAACTTATAAAAAAAAAACCGTGCTTTACTTTTGAATTGCTATCAATTACATACGTTTTTCTTTCAGTCTGAGGATCACTTTGTCAGGGAAAATGTATGTCTTCACAAGATTTTTTATTACTTTTGTTTGGTGCTTCGTGTAGTTTTTGTTATTGTCTGAAGTCAGATCAGATGTAATTTCTGGTGTTTTATGTGACAATAATATCAATTTGTTGTCTGAAAACTGCGTTTGTATTGACTGGACAAGGGAAGTGTTTCAGCAAATGTCCTACAGGGAATGTACGATCTTCCAACAGTACGTCGTCGGTCGGATGTTTTTTTTTTAATTCCACCAATACGACGGTACAAATGTATGGAACATATCAATAATTAAATTAATTTTTCTCGGGTGAATTTTCGACGTGCCTAAGTTTGCATACTAGCACTATCACATAATGTTGGGTTACTTGGGGAAGGCCAGAACATGTTTCAAACATCATATTTCCGGTTAAGTCGGAGAGTTCTCGTCTATGCTGCAGTTACATTCAGACCAGGACATCAGAAGTCGTTATGCTAATATAAAACAAACGTTCGAATAACCAATGATCGAACTTTTGTTTCACATTAAACTGACATGATCTTTAGTTGCATATTTAATACAGTCGTATGCTTCCTATCGGAAAACTATTTTTATTCTGCTGTTCTGCATTATTTGGAAAATAATTTCAGAGCTTTTTAAACCGCAAACCAGATGTAAGTAATTTGGTAGCTGCTACTTAAGCATGAATCATAAGCATATTTTCCATATCATTAACAAATACGATTTGAATAGTATAGCCATATTCATACATATGTAAAGTAATATTTTTAAACTTCATAGACTATACTCTCTATATCAATCACTAATATACGCTTATTATATCCTAGAAGCACCTAATCTTACCTGTGTTATTTTGTGTTTTATTGTATAGTTTTCATACCTTTCTTGTCAAATACAATCGTTCCAGGCTATACATTGTTGTTTCGTTTTGAGAAATTAACCAATTACAAAGCTAACGGATGCGTCGTGCTCTTATGAAATCATAGCCTATATATCGATATATTTTAGTGGTAGATCACTTTCTGTCATTGTTATTTTCCTGTTTGCTGCAAGCCATTTCTTTTCATGCACTGTGCCATTTTTTTTGCTGCCTCTCGTTTGAATGTTGTACATTAATATATTGTGTTTGCCATAATAGCAATATTTTATAATTATTTAAATGTTTGAAATTAAAACAAGATTTTGTAAGATTAATGATGATAGGATTTATTTTATCGGTAATGTGTATTCTTATTAACAACCAATTCTCCATGTACATAACCCAGGTTAAAAAAGTTTTTTGTTTTATTTTTGGTTTTGTTTTTGTATATTTTTGCGGTCTTTCATGCAATCGTTTGAAGTATCTTATACCTTTAATTGCTATTTGATATTTTTAGGTAGCGTTGATTAACAACCTATTAAAAGAACTACTGATATATGTATATTTGATACAGAGATGTCTCTGACGTCGCTGAATCAGAAAAGCTTGTAGAAGTTATAACATCTTAATCTTCTCTTTCAAAAGATTCTGATCTGACCCTTATTCGGCTTCTCACCTACTAACTGCATTATTTCAATCACGAATATTCTTATCTATATTCATGCACGTAATATCTTGGATGTACACACCTCGATTAATATTTGTATCTCAAAACTTGTCTAATTTATTGGATGGGACAAGAAGTTTATTTACGTAAATCCCTAAGGTGCGTCCATATGAAATATGCTGGTATCATCTTACATGGTGTAATTAGTTGTAATAAAAAGGCAATTCTACTGAAGTTTCTCGAACTTTAACGATATATTTAACACATTAATGTAATTTATTTCGTGGAATGGACACGTACAAATATACGTCATTTGTACTATAATTTTTATTGTGTTTCTAACAGAAGAAGGATATGGACATAGTGAATGAGAAGATGGCACAGGAGAGATATCGTGGTGATCTCGGTACGTTTCGACCTGTGAAAATTACAAACTGACTTACTACAAACACATTTTAGTTTCAGCTTTCAGTCCTTTGATAAGCATACAATTGTTATGAACCAAATGACATAGCTATATTATGTTGACTCGTGATTTTGTTGTACAATATTCTGTTTTAAATCACCATTTACAACGAGGTGATTTTTTTCTGTCATAAACAGCTGTATAAACCATATTTCAAATTCGTTTTCATGTTATGTCTTTTAATACTTGCTGAAATGTGATGCACATAGATTAAAGGGTTTTATGATACACATATGATGTGTGAGATACGAAGCGATGATTTATGTATCTAGTATTATATTGATATCGGAATAGATACTGGATGATCAACCTTTTCCCATTTAGCTGTATATATTAAACGATTGTTTTGTTTGTTTAGAGGGGAATGTCATTGCAATATAAGCAATGCAATTGTATTAATTATATCTATCATACTATTCCAAACAGACAAGCAGGTGGCACAAAACACACGCAAAGGTGACGAACAACATCGCCATCAGCAGGAATCTGTAAGTAGGAAATAAATTGAAGACAGGGTTGAAACTAATGAAAAAATTAAGTTACATTTAGTTCTAATTTATCCACGATAAATTGTTGCCAAAGTGTTATTTGCACAAGCTTTAGAAGGTTATGTCACTGTCCCTAACAAAATCCTCAGTTTGAGGCCATGACATTATATAGAATCGATTTCGAATTACGTAACTTGTATTCTAAGAATATGTTTTAAATAAATCCAGAAATATCAGAGATTTAGCAAATTATAAATATTAAAAATATATATTGTGTATATTTCTACCATTCATATACTATTGAAAATGAGACAGTGCTCGGTGCTTGAGTGATTTAACTTCATCCGAATTTTGTTAGTTTATTTCATGGCCATTTCTGCTGCTTTAACGATACATTTTTCGTTTATTAGCAAGAAGATTATGTTGGAATACTCGATTCGTTCAGGGCTCGCCCTCGGTCAAAGCATCATTTACCTCACAGCGACATATCACGTGCAGTAAGTATGAAATATATACCGACATATGATAATTCTGTCATTCTTTTATCATCATCTAAAACATGTCATTTCGAAGAGAAAAAAAGACAATCTCTTGCGCCTCACAGACCACAAAACAATGTATGGATACGTTTGTATTTCATAATTTAGAGAGATGGACGTGTTCGAATTGAACCCCAAGACGCCAGAAAGTACCACGAAACACTAGATATCGGCCTTACAGATCAGCTGTATAAGAAAAGACTAGAACAGCTGAAGGATCATCAAGAGAGTCGTCGGGTATGTTCCTTAAAATATTTCATTTTCTATCATAGATTTATTCGTGTGATTAAACTGTTGAAAGTTGGAATACTTATTTGGTTTAATATATGCCTCGTATCTTGATGTTGTGAGCAACTTTGCATGTACACACTAAAGTTTTACACTTGATTTCATGAAACATCTATATCTTACATCGACGTTTGTGGTTCAGCTGAAGTTGATGATGGTGTTTTGATTAAGGTATTGACAACAAAACAACCACATCGTGTTTTCAATACCTATTCGATAGAATATTTCAGTTGAATTTCGTTAAACGACATGCAATGCTTCAGAACATTTGTCGGTTGTCATATATTAAACTTCAAAACAACGTAGTTAGTGATCGGTTATCATAAATCGCCACACAATCCACTGTTGTTTCATTTGTCCTGGTATAAAATAGTGATTGGGATTTTATACAAACATCTAAAGAGTAAAGAAAGAAAACTAGTGTATTGATTGGACAAGATAGTCAAATTGGTGATCCTCTGGTTGCATGAATAAATATGCCAGTATGAATTATATACCTTTTCGGTATTTGGATTGGCTGATGATAAATGCATATATATAAGACGAGAAAAATGTATAAATAGAATGAATATCATATATTTTGCAGCATATGGACATAATGGCAACTTATTGGGGACGATATGGAGGGGGATACAGGAAAAACGAACAGTATACACACAAAGGAAATCTAGACAATCTTCTGAACAATGAAGAAAAAAACGTAAGTTATTTTAGGAAATAATATTTTAAAACATATATGATAACAATTACATACTTATTTGTAATCTAACATTTACTTTATAGTTGATGGGAACATCTCTTCCATTTCCCAAAGTCATTTCAGTTCTATTTAAATATGAAATATTAACCGTCTAAATTAAAACTTATTCGTGAATATTAGCCTTTTCCCTCCCTTCTAATTTGTATCGATTGATTAATAGTACGTAACATGTGCTTAATATTATGTCTGGATAAGTATATGTTTGCGAATTTCCATTGGCTATATCATGGTGAAAGGATGAAGCGTTTTTTGCTAACAGTTGGATGTGGCGGGCAATACCGACATTCCTTTATACTATTTAATATATATATGCACACATTTCTATTAATCAATACTTTAAAGTAAGCTCAAAGTTAATTTTGATTTTGAACATAGCGTTTCTCCATGAGCGATGCATACGTTAAAGGAAAGGACTGGTCTCAGTTCGATGATCAGGTGCGTCCACTCATGACACATGTTGATGTGTGGACCAACATTGGTCTATGATTAGTCTATAACAGTGAGAAACTGACCGTTTCCAGAGTGTTACCTGATAGTTGCTTTAAAGAGCTTTAATATGATTAGAGTGATTGGGTGACATTTTATAGCATTCTTGTAATACTTAAATACTAACATGAACTTAATATTAGTTACATAAAGCATTTTCAATTTTTTTTTCTTTTTCCTTTAATTATTTAAGCTTGTGTGTTCAGTAGTTTCTTTAATGAGTTTTGATTGCAGTTCTTGACAAACCAATCTCTTTTGCCTGATATTTCCTTCGTAACAGTGAAAAACCAAATAAACAATATATACATATATATATATATGGCCAGAATTACAATAATCTACCATAAACATACCCATTACGGTAGGAGTGTGATTATTTCCTTGCAGCACCCAGTTTCATTTTGAATCATCTAGAGTATGAATTTATGATTTCATCAACGTCTCTTAGCTTATGTAAACAAAACAACACATCAATCAGGTTTTGTGCATTCATTGCTTGTGTGTATGTTGCTTGTAGTTTTTGTGTTTTACAATAACATGAACCGATTACCTTGCATTTTGTGCTTCTTTCTCATAATCTGTGTGTATGTGAGTTGCATGCGACATGACACATCCGTTATGAACTTACCATCAATTGTATAATTATAGATCATTCTATTCATTTAGATTTGGAATAGCCATGGCATCATTGCTATAGATATGCTTCAAAGCGAACATCTGATCATCAACCATTGATAATATAAAGCATATATGCTAATATAAGATCATTACTTTGAAAATTTGTTCTGATCATTATGCGTGAAAAGAGAACTAGGCATCAAGTACTTTGTGGAAAACCGTAAATCACAAGTTGCATTGACAAAGAATCTAAATACCTTTCAAGCTGAAGGGAGAAACACGATTCCTCGGTCTGTTCTCCCCGTTTTAAATGTCAGAAATAAGCAAAGGATGGTTTCTGAAACGAATAGTAGGATATGTTCTTGTGTCTCCATTTGAATATCTCCATTTGAAAAGTCATTGGAAAAAAGAAAGTTTGATTTCTGTAGTCTTGATTCTGAATTTGATTCGAAGATGAATTAAAGACATGTCGATTTGATAGTGTCAAAAAGGTACAGCTATACAATAATATTCATGATACATATTTGTTTTAGACTCCACGAGGGGATGGCATTACCTCAAGGAACGCTGCAAGACAAGTAAAAGAACTGTTATACTTACACTAATAACTGAATACAATGACATCAATGAAACCCTTCATGTATGCTGAATTTCAATGAAATATTTCCTCAAAAGGCATTTAGGTTCTTATAATAATGGTTATCAGTAATTGAATAAAGTCTTTACCGGAAGAAGTGTTATTCATCGTATACTCAAAAGACGGCAGATAGCTTATTTCTCTCAATCTAAATTTACATTTGTATATTCATTCACATTTTAAGGGACGTATTATAAGTTCGGCATTCATTCTCTAAACTAGTTTGTCTAGATCATACCCTTCATCTCTTATTGAATGTCTTGCTTTTCATCAAATGTCTTTTTTTACTGTTTTTATAATTGTGTATTTTATTGCTATTAAGTTTTATGGACCTTTTTATCTAAATGACCTCCATTTTTCGCGATATAACTCCTTTTAATGTCCAACTTTGAAGTATTGCATGTTTCTTGGTGGTGTAATGTCGCATACTGGCTGTGATCTCATTCCGTTTTATATATCAACATGTGGACTTTTGTCCATTCTAGCTATCTGTATTTATTCGTGATATGGTGTCCAACAAAGAACAGAGCTGTAACTTTGTATTGATTCTTATATCACAGCTTTGTGTCACCTCTTCTTTTACATACAGCAACCAAACTTCTACATACTTCTTATGCCCTTCTATATACAACCTTATGAACTCCTTCTTGCCAATATGATTCGGCTTTAATGTGATTTAGATTGCGGGCAAATACTGTTAAACACGCTACAAATAAGGTCAAGTCAGATATTAGCTTTTAAGTGGACGATTGGTTTTGTGACAGTTCAGTATAAAATGAGTTGCAAGAAGGCATTACTTGAAGCGTTCATATGATAGTTTTAACAAGGAATCAAGAAGAACCCAAAAGTCATGCTAGTGGCATATGTATCTTCCTTCCGAAGCAATTATTGAAAAAGAGGTTTTAGCAAAATTTCTCCAAGAACGTAGTAAACAGAAAATCAGCATACATGTTCTGGCAATGACAATCTGCAGATTATGAACAGCATCCAATCATTCAAAATATGAAAATATGATTTAATATAAATCATACATATCACAATTTAGAATGCAATGGCAATTTGGTCCAAAAATACTAAAGGTTATATATATAAATATATATATTTCAAATTAGACACTATTTGTTTGAAAGTGGTTTGTTTTCCTTCGATATCTCATAAAATATTCACGAAGATTTTGTGATATTTCAATATGTGTGTGACACTATACCGCTTAACACATATCTTTGTATGTTTCATTCAATCACGATACGTCCATGCATCACTTTAAATACACATTTTCAATTTATGCAATATATATATAAGAATAAAAAAAAATGATATTGATTTCAAATTATGGTAATGAACCATGGAATTTTGTGAATCCATTTTCCATAGCAATGGAAAAAGGTAACATACAAAATGGAAGAAACAAAAAACAAGGCACCAATGGTTCCAAATACAATTATGAAGATGTATATTTGAGACTGTCGTTGATCACTTGTTCACGTGCTTTTCACGTTCGTTACTTTGTAAGTGTCCTTTTTACTAATTGTCCACATTTTTATATGTTGGCTAGTAATCGCAACCTGACGATAGTATGGTAAAGCTAAAAACAGTGATTTGGTCTCATTTACGTTACTCTGCTATTTCTCTGGTAGATGAGTATATGTTAAGGCAAAATTGTGATATATCAATCATGTTTGTCGCTTTCAATGTGTCATTTGCTAAATGATCTTTACATCACTCTTTGATCATCATATATTGTAAACATATGCCGGATGGTAGTTATAAAGTAAAATACTTTGTTTTCGTCATAAATAAATGAACTGTTTTAGTTAATATATATATTCATAATCACAGTGATAATATCCGTTAGTCGTAAATGTCTTACTCTTGTGTACCTGTCTTTCCTGATGTTGATTTAAATGAAAGTGTGATACCGTACCCGATTTGTAATCCATAACTTGGCCATGCCCAATTCCAAAGTGTTTTTTTCCCTGCTTGCTGTTCACTAAAATACCGTGTTGGCTTTTGTGATTCTTTTTAGTTTAGATGATATATAAGGTCTTATGCTCCCTCATTAAATATATTCGATTCGATAAATCATAATATTTTCCCTCGTAGGTGATTTTTGTTTCAGCAACATTTGTATCTAAATTCCATTTAGCTATGATATATGGTGTCCGTGTTTGTTTCCTTCGACTGATATTAAGTGATATATTTTAGTTAAACATTATTTCAGAATGTAATGTATTACAAAAGAGATCTTACTATAGTTTCAATTCAATATGGAGATCATTTTAAACTTAAATAAACTAAATGTCACATACCTGGAGACTATTGACTTACAAAATTCGTAATTCTCATATGCAGTGATATGAATGAAAACTTTAGTTCATTTTGATGGTTTTTCTATTATGTCAACCGCGTGGCGTTGCGTAGTTGCGATTTCTCAATAGCGTCACTATACGGATAACAAACAATATTTGCGATAATCTGGACACTTTGGAATCGTTCACCTGCTTAGTTTTCATGTTTGTTTGACAGCTCCAAACATTTACGAATCACTTAGTAAGTTTTGCATCACGAACATTAGAAATCATATCAGTTGAACGTAGCAGCAGCTTTGACATGTTTGTTCTGCCAACAGATCACCCCTCGTTTTGGCTCCCAAGACGACTTGTCGCCTAGATTCTCTCGTGTCACCGTGGATAGTCACCACGCTAATCAGTATGACTATCCCCATTCTCCTTCCTTAAAGGTACGTCATCACCCGCACGTCATTAACTTGACAAAAGCTTACTGTGGATGGTTTTGGTATGAGAAGTAATCTTCACTAACACAGTTTCTACATTACATTTTTGGCATCATGGTTCTGTTTGTGGAAAAGTTTTCGAATAATTTCTAATCATTGCTTTCCAAAATTCATGTTTTGCAAGTCATGATTTTCCTGTTTCCTGTGCATATAATGCTTAATCATCTCATACACATTACACATATCAGTATATTTAATTATAACAATTTTGACTCATCTCTGCCATTTGTCTTCACTTAAATACTTGACTTACACAAACCCTTAGTGAACTTTGTGATGTTTTGATGGCTTTATGTCTGTTATAATCTAGGTATGATGATCGATTGACTTATTCAGATTATATAAAATGATACATTTCAGTACATGCTGCATGTTTGATGAGTGTAATATTGACAATAACGCATTTTTTATTGGTCTATCATTCCGTATGGTTGTTTTGATTATTTGGTTGTCATTCTTTCTTGAATACTTATTTTAACTTGCTTGCTTGTTTGAAGTATACTAAGCTAACAACGTTTCATTGCTTGATATTGCTGTCACGTACAACGTTTTCCAAAGTTTACTTAGACATAATGCATTTTAGTAATCATTTCATTCTTTATTACAGCGATTTGAGATTAAAAAAAAGTTTTATGCGTCCTGATATTGGCAAGGAATTATCATTTATGTCTTTTACATAAGCAGAGCAATAGGCGTTTGGTGATTCCTTACATCACTGACACAATCGTTTGTTTATTTTAAAATTATGAATGATGAATGAATTTTGCATTGATTTACAGTAATACGAATCACCATAAGTATACTTTGCATATTAGAAATAGTCAATAACGAATAGACATAGTTAATTGATTTAGAGATTGGTTTTACTAATTAATTCATTCAATTAAAATAATAGACTTCTATAGATGTTTTCATGAGGACTGATCCGCTGGACGTGTCCACTGTTCTAATTACAGAATAGTACCAGTTTTTTTTAGATGTTATTAATACTAATGCATGTTTGCTCACTAATAACATGAACAATTAGATTTGGTTGTTTCCCTTTATATGCGACAATTGTCCGCCGTATTGTATACAAGGGGAGGGAATTCGTAAGCAAAAACACACAAACGTTGACTTATGGGTGTATATCAGAGAGGAAAGTAAGTATCGTAAACGTTCGAGAATCAAGATTAGGTATATTTCAGCCCTTAGCATCACTGATTCAAGGAAGGATGAAACAACTGAGTGAAGTAGTTTAATATACTTTTTGGATCTGCAATATCTTTAGTTCTAAATTTATTTTGAATGGTGTGTGTTTTGTATAATTTTCTTACTTATTCCTTCGATATTACTGACCAGACCTAATATTAATGCTTAGTTTGTTTTCAGACGTTTCCATAGATGTTAATTGCTATTTGAAGAACACAACAGTTAATTATAAGACGTCATAGTTATTCATTGAGATTGATATATGACTTTTTAAGAACTGGCGAATCTAGTTTAATTTAGAGATACTTTTCAAACAGAAGTTGCTAATTGGAGACAATCTGCTGTTGTGACGTTATCATAAATATAAGACACTTCATTAAACTGAGACGAATAAGTAGCAAATTGAAAAAGAAAACGTGATTCACAGATAGCATCTGAGTTTTACAAGCATTTTTTGCTATTTCAAAAAGGAATAGAAAATTATTCCTAATATAGAGATCCTCTTAATATTCTAATTTGCTATAAAGCAACATAGTATTATTAACGTGATGAATGTATTACGTAATATAAGTGAGATCTTTAATATCAGTTTTGTCTTTGACATAACCCATTTACAGTTGAATAATTCAAATAATGAAATGTTCGATACATTTTCAGGGAAAGTGTTTGAATGATTAATATCGAATCATCTGTGTTCCTAACATGCATATGTAATCATGTAGGTTCATTTTTACCGGCATGGTCATAAGTTGATTGGTAAAGCTTATCTAAATGTTAATACACATTTATAGTTGAAATATGTGCTTTTCAATATGTACATTGATGATCTTTTTGAATGAAAATTACGTATCTTATATCTTGCATTTAATCAGCTGTGTTTTTTATCTTATTATTTTTTTTTTGCTTTTAAATCGGTCTGATGTGAACTTGGTTTGAAGGATCGCTGATCTTGTCATGACAAGGCGTCTGTCCGGGTGTCCGTTATTTGTCTGTCCTTCAACTGTTTCCCTTAAAAATTGTTGTTGGTCATAAGCGGTATAGCGGATTTCGACAGGTTAGGTCAAAAAGTCCCCGTTTTTAAATTGTTGATATATACCCCAACTGGGTCTGAGAAATGAAGCACAATTGAAAAATGGACAAATCACAATTTTGATGGATCTTACAAGAACGAAATAGCTGAATCTTGTAGATAAATTCTATATTCATATCTTAATGGATACTACTAGTGTCACGAGTTTGCCGTAACCTACATGCCACATGCCATGATGAAAGTTACCAGTTGAATTATTGGACAAGTGCTCTTTCCTATCTAAATTTTGCCCTTTTCCGATTCGATCAATTTTTATATTATTTAGTCGCCTCTTAGATTCCATGTTTAGTCTAAAGCATCATTGATGAGTTCTAGACGCATGGATCGGCAGTACGATACAGCTGAATTATTTTTTCTCTATCGTATCTAATTATTAATTTAAATGGAAAGGTACTTTTCATTTGTTTGTCTTTTGTACAATCTTTATATAAACAGTATGTTTGACTATCCTGTGAAAAGAGGGGATGAGCCCATTTGGGGAAAGAGGGGGAAATCTTTTTTAAATCTTTCGGTAGGAAGAAGATATTTTGACTATTTTTTTGGGAAAGGGGGCCAATTTTTGATAAAAGAATGTTGCCCCCACATCTGAGACATGAGAGATGAAGGCCATTAAGGAAATATGCAAAATCCTCTTTCTGTAGGAAGGACAGGTTTTTTTTTACAAATCATATTGGAAACTCTCTTAATTTTGTAATAACACTAGATTTTATCCTTCTCGGGGTTTGAAGAGCAGGGCCTAATAGAGGAATTACAAAGGCAGATTTAACTTGCTTCCTCTGTTTGGAGACGGTTATGAATGTTTAAACAAATATTATCAAGTATCTAGAAATCCTTTGGGAATTTATGTAATATATATGCATTACCGAATCAGGTAGGTTATGCAGGCCGTATGTGCCTTTTATAGTTTAATGTTCATGTGGAAAAGTCGTTTGAAAATTTTGAAATAAAAGTGAAAACAGGTAGCTTTAATTTAAATAACAATGGTATATTTATTGGGACTTTTGTGTCATCTGAACAAGAACATCGAAATGAGCTCAATGTAACCAAGTAATCTCAAAGAGTAAATAGTTGGGGAGAACCGTATGATCGATGCATCTTTGTTACTGAAGAAACGCATGTAAAAATCTGCGTGTCGTTACATTGAGGGCAATTCGTTTCATAAGTGTTGTCATGGGGCGATAGCTCATCGAATTTATGTTTTAAAGTTTTAAAATCACAAATGACTTTATAACTCGAAAAATCTTATGCAATACAAACACTTTCTCAAACAACGGCTGCTTTAAAGAAAATATACATGTTGACCACTTTATATCATGCGTTAATATGAGTGTTCTATTTTTGGTTTTACTTTTAGATCCAGTATTAAACAATACTTTCTGTACTTCGATTTTTTTTACAGCACGTGACCGGTTGTTGTCACCGCGGTTTTAATATATACATCCACATGTATTAATTGGTTTTATTTGTTACCAGAACATTATTCTGATATTGGTAAAATATTATTTACTACGATTTTTTTTTGTCTTTGCAGAAGAGCTACGAGGTAAGATTACCATGGGCGCAACACTAAGATACTAAGCATCCAATAGATACATAAGAAGATTCCCAGTAACACAGAATTCGAATTACGTTTAACATCATTTTTGGAACGGATCGAAGCGAATTAAACATACGAAATATGGACTAAAATATGAATAGATATATTCAATACTCTCGGAGTATTCCAGCATGATTTGGTTGAAACTATCAGGAATGGAATCCAAGCATGGTCCGAGAATTGGTCTTTGCTACGCAGCAATGGTTAAGATGATTGTTGTTTCCGTACTGGACCAATATGTATACGGTATTGTTTTATTAGGGAGTAACCACCATGCGATGTTGTTCATATGGAGAAACTACCGTGTGGACATGTTATAAGTTTAAAGTAATAAAAAAAACACATATTCTTACAGAAATCGTTAAACTTTCATTAAGAGGGTTTTCGCGGAGGCATGTTTAATGCTCCTGATTCTTGTTGGTTTAGTTTGAAATCTATATTTACGGGAAAAGATATTGATTATGCTCCTGTCCTTAGAATTACATAACAATACGAACTTCTCTGAGTTGTCAGATAGGTTTTCATGCAGTATTTCAAATTTTCGCCGAGATTCCTTATTTCATTTGTAAGATTGTAAACGGAAACTTGTATATATAAATTCATCTATATAAATAAGTCATGTGGATTTGGTATTTATTTTTATCGTCATGAAGTTTACTTTGAGGGTTAATTGAATATGTATGAAGGATTTCATTGATAATCATTCTTTGTATCATCCATTGTATTGTAATAATTTCGTTTATAATGTAATTAAGATGTTCTTTGTCACTTAATACTACATCTCAACTCGCAGGCTTTTGATAATTTCTTGTTATACGAATGATATATTCACAAAAAACATGACTGAGCCATTTTTTTTATTCATTTGCTTTGTTTTACTTCTTTAATACACAAAAATTTATGTATTTTCTTAAATACAAATTAGGCGAAATAAAGAAACAATTTGCCATGTCATTTTTTGGTATAATACATATCTTTAGATAAATAGGCATTGCTACATAATTCGCATATTCGTCGACCTTTGAATGCTAAGATCGTAAAGCTAATTTATAGGTATCTTTTATGTTTGCTTTTCCAATAATATGGCTGTCATATTGAGGTTTCTGTTTACAGTGCCTGGCTCCGTTTATGAAAAGGTTAAAGTTTATCTTTAACTCTTTGTTGTTTTTGTCTCATATGGCATGGCATTGTTCATGTTTTAATGTAAATAATTATGATAGTCTATAAGCTGTGATATGTAGATTTTGTTTGTTAATATCAAGAAGTTTAATATCAAACATACTTTGTTACACAGGAAAAAAATCTTAAAGAAAACCGTCCTATTGTTAGATATATTAAATTAGGATTTTTTCAATTGTCATATTCGACCAGATTGATAACACTTCATTTTTATTTCTATAACATGTTAGCACTATGTGTTATGTTGTTTATTCAATAATTATCTGTGATAAACTATCATGCATTTTGTATTATTCTATATTTAACAGATCATTTTTGTATTATCTAATGTGATTGAAGTATACACTATGAAAGTATTTCGTTTTTTATCTATTCAGCCGTCCATCAATATTTCTGTTTAGTTTTAAAAGATGTGAAAGCGTTTTTACATATACATAGTATTTATTTCATAGAATCTATTTTTATTTTTATCGGCATATATCTAATATCGATAATGAAATTTATACCTGACAGTAAACGTTAATAACAGCATTACTTGCATTTTCTATGGAAATAAACGTTTCACTCAATTTTAATGTCTTCTTTGTTTTTTGAGTTTCATTTATTCAGGTTGTAGCCTGAGCAGACTGTAATGTACCTTAACCAACTATATTAACTAATTAAGGATGTTTTAAAGTTTGCTTGTCCACAGATGGTGAATCATCGTGTAATGTCAGAATTAGAATGTAAACACGCAAAAGACAAGTGACCTCATTCCAATTATGGAATCTTTGAAATACTATAAAGAAATGAAACACTCGATAATGAGTTTCACTGTTAATTGTTTAGAAATATACCAACGTTAATGTGACATCACGGTTTAACTTTTATTTTAATTATTTTCTCGTCTGATCATTGCATATATATATATTTATATATCGTATCATCTTACGAACAATGACAGGTGGTTTTCGCTGAATATGAAATGCATTAAGGGGTTGATTAATATTCATGGAATGGAAATCCGTATCAACAGTCTGGATATGTAAATGTTGGACTCATATGATAACGCATGCGCACAAAAAACATCGCTTGTAAACTAAAGTGCCTTCCCGTCTGAATCGGTCGGGACAATGATGGCTATTATTGTCACTTATTTAGTGATTTTTGAATTTTACCTGGAGTTAAGATTTGCCACTCCCATAACAAAATCCGGTGCTGAAAAACGGGATTTTACATTCTATGTCTCTGCAGTTGGCTTGTCGCTATCATAAGTGTTAAATTTGAGAGTTTCCCGAACCAAAGAAATGGCCAGGCTGGACATCGGAAATAATTGCGAATATCGGGATAGCATAGAAACGTTAATGGTTATGTATAAAACACGTACAATGAGTAACAAAATTAAGGTTTTTTACCGTGATGTCCCTCCAAGCAATAGCGATACTAGACTTGTATTGATTAAATAAAGAAAAGGTAAAATCATATATGAATGCTGTAATTTTCAAAGGAAAATGTGTCGGAACGAAATATTGAATGTATCTTATACACGCCGCCAGAACACTGACGTTTGTCGGTGAGACGATACCTAGACACGGGAGGAGTAACGGAGACGCAAAACCTGTCAACCAACCAACACGATTTAAGTGGGATAATTAATACCAAACGCGTATTTAAATATTGTTGTAATTAAATCTTCCTTTTTCGCCCAAGACAGTGCTTCGAAAATAAACCGGCGGCCCCTTATGTTATTGTAGTGCAGTCGGCATGGACATGTAAATAGTGTAGTGTCACGTTTTTAAATGTAAACAATACAAAAACCACCAGACATACACTTGCATCGAACACATCTAATCTAACTAGAATACATATTATGGTAACGACCATAAAACTAAACAGTCTTCATCAACCTCTTGAGCACCTTGTATTGCATTGTATTGTATGTTTTCTGTCAGCTATCAATCCATTGCAAATTGTGATATTGAGAACAATCTAATGAATATTAAATTAACTGCGACATTTTAAAACAAAAACCCAGGAAGCAGTGATGTTGTTATCTTTAAAAAGTTAATTCAAAATAATACATAGCAATAATCATACATGGAACAGATGTTGACCATCGTATCAAAATTTAGTATTCACAAATTGTTATAAAAATTTATTATAGACCTACAGAATAGATAGGTAGAAGTGAACAGACAAGAACCTGTTATCTAATATGGACCTATATAACCACGACAGCATATACAACTCTAGTCCCAACAAAGATAAAACGTCGGACTAGATAGAAACATCTTACTTATCTCATTACCTCGTCTCAGTAAACACCACCGAACTACATGGATCAAGTCATGTACTGTAAGATCGTTCTAAGTATTTTGTTTCTTTCCCCTGTTGTTTTCACAGACAACAAGTGTATTCTGCATTCAGACTGTAAGTAATATCTTATTTTGTTGTATCGGTTCACACTAACGTCTTACTGGCAGAGGAATCCTTCCCCAGTGTTGTTAAATAGACACGTTTCATGTTTTTTGTCGTTTCTACGTAAATGGCAATATTTCAAATAGAACGCTCGGAAAGATTATGTGATCATCAAATGTCTCTACTCTGACACTAGTTTACAGTATTTTTCTTCAAAAAACATGCCGACAACTTTTTATCGTGTTCCACCTTCTTTGTAGCATTTGAGACTCAATTTTGCAATCTACAAGATGCAGTTACAGCCATGAGTGCAAAGTACTCCGACCTTACCCAGGCACAGAAGGACATTGCGAACCTAAAACACACGGTTCAGTCACAGACCGCTAGGATATTGGACAACGAGGCTGCTATAAATTCAAGCACACAATCCAAAAACCTTACAGATCAGGTATAAAAAGATTCTACATACCACAAGGACATGCTGCAAAACGTTCTGTCGAGACATTTAGATTGTTTAATATCTCACTTACTTACTTAAAATAATGGAATTAAGATATACCATTGGGAAAATATTGTCAATCAAGTGAAATATCAAAAATATTTCTGTTAAAAAATGTGTCCAGTACTTAAACTTACCAAACATTGTATAACACTGTATATATGGTTTTGGGTAAACTATTGGCTATTGCAGGATATGAAACAAAACAGGCGAAAGTTTAATTTACAATATTGTTGAAGCGTAAGGATAAAACATAATAATTGTAGAAAACTGCAATTCGTGATGTGTGTATAGAGGAAAAGAAAATGAAACATCCAGATTCCAATTGATTAAGCTTCGAAAATGGGAGTGAAAAAAATGGGGAAATCCTACAAACGATATGCCGTCTTCTGGATTGCAGCATTAGCCCTTTATTGTAGTACAATTTTCTTAATAGAGAGTTTGTTTGCCTTTGTTCGTTAGGTTGAACAGCTGCAGCAAATGGTAGCAGATTTACTTAACAGAACAGCAGCAGTTGAAGGTATCGTACCTGAATGTCAAAAGGCTTTGAAAATTAGTTAATTATTTTGTTTTGTAAAACACAGACTAGTTCCCTTGTTCGCAACACTAATCGCGGGCAGAGTTGCGCTCCGCTGTATAAAAACTGGTAGCAAGCAGCCAAATTTGGTAGGAATTCTTACCCGCGCAGACCACATAAGGTATGCGTTGCGATTGAAAGAATAATTACAGCGTCAGATCAACAGAGGTTAATTATAAATGATGATATAAAAATATTTTCTGTATTTCTCATTTTTACTTTCTTAAGAGCCACTTTCGTTATAAGTAGTACCCTAACGTCATCTTTGTGTGGGTATTCCCTAGATCTTTGTTTAGTTAAACGATGACAGCACCCTTTTCAGACAGTTGATGGCAATTTCAAACATATTCGCGGTTAGTTTAATGTCTCTGTTATTCGTCACCGGTAACCACAATTTGCGATTGTAATTACGATATACCACCAAACAAATTTCAAAATATAGAAGGATTATCCCGTTATTACCGTTCTATAAACATCATTTCCTTTCATTCACGATTTACAAATCATTTTCTCAAAACTCGTTTATCCTTATTAAACTTCTGCTGAATTATCATTTTATTTCGAAGTAATACATAGTTGCAGGCATGTCGCGCTGCTTTCTGGGAAAAATACAATGCATCAGATATCCTTATATCACCAGTTTAACACACGGCCTTAGTTTCTCTACTCTCCGTCAGGGCTGCACCGCGCTATTCAAAAAATGCTAGAGATCAACTATGCAGAATTCCCATCACCTGTTTTTTTTTCAACTGAAGTTCAGTAAAAATCTTTCTCCAAGGTGCTAAATAAATCAGGTTACAAAGTAAAGACGCAATTACTTTATGTACGGAACTTTCCATTATATGGTACGCTCCTGTTTCACATTGAGAGCGAATTGAAAGCGAATAATAATTTCTACGACGATGGTCATTTGATACAATGCAACGTTTTCGTTTATACAAACTAAGTTGTCGTACAAACGTTGATGAATCAATTTTCACCTTAAACGATCATGCAATATTGTAATGGGATGTAACCTGAACGACTAATTCTGTCTGTATAATTGATATGAATATCGGATAGGTGTATCAATCAATGAAATTGTCAAAATACCAAGTAAAGCTTGTATTACGAGTTGTGTTTTAACTGCAGCTAAGGTAACCGGACCAGTGAAGCCTTGCGATTCCAACCCCTGTCATAACAACGGTAAGTTATCACTGAACAATACGTTTTACATATATGTCACTGAAGTAAAAACAAAATGAAAATTAACAAATCTTACGATAATTTAACATTTTAAACATTTTTAATGATAACAAAAGAATAAAATGTATTCTGAATGTTTTAAATGAAAATTGATAGTTTTATCATATATATATATTCATTTAGCTTCCTGTCTAGAACTGACTGGTGACTATTACTGCGCATGTCAGGGAAACTTCACCGGAAAGCATTGCGATCAGGAAGACCACTGTGCAATGTTGCCTTGTAAAAATGGTGGTACATGCTACAGTAACGCAATTTCTTATATTTGCAACTGTACCGTTGATTACAGCGGTCCTACCTGTGAAACCAAACTGAATCCCTGTGACTCCGATCCCTGTGTAAACGGACTATGTACAGCACTTAACAACTCTTATAGCTGTTCGTGTGATAAAGGATTCACTGGAGTAAATTGCGATTCGCCATCATCAGGTTCAAGCCCTGTAGTCTCCTCGTCTACTTCCGGTGTGATTGTGACGTCAACGACAACCACAGCAACACCAACACCAAGTGTGTGCGACGGACAGCCAAAATGCAACCCTCCCGCAACATGCGTGCCTGTTCCGCATTCAAACGACTATAATTGTGTGTGTCCAGATACGCCGGAGACATTGGCGGATACTTGCTGGGAACCTTTCTATATTTTGCCTTTCGGGTTCTGTTGTAGAATCAATACTTGTGTTGTCCCAAAACCGGATCCGGTATGCTGATATCAAGGCAATTGATCATCACCTCTTTATGCTCTATATGGCCGGCTGTATTCCTTATAAAAACTTACAGAACCTGTACTTTTGTATTCTTATGTTTCGTTCCTTTCAATCACATTTGCGGTTTGCCGTAACCTGTTTACTCACTTATAACTGATTTGAAAATGGAACGGTTTAAAATTACTATTATAACACTCCCCATAAATCAATATTTTAACACTTCTTTCGACGTGGTTGATTTCCTCGGTTTTGACGCCTTAGACACTGAGAATTACTGATTCGGTCTTAAAGGACAAAAAAGGTGTGTGATGTACTTTTATTTATTGTTTGACTCTATCTGATTTCTAAATCTGTAACGACACAAATATCATATTCTTGTGAATCACCTGAATAACCCTTATACAGGTAGTCTAAATTTTAAACATACTTTAGGGCATCACAAAATAGGAAAAAACATGAATATGTTATGATTTTTACGATTTTGACTATGTGCAATGTACAAAGAGAATAAATGGCTCCATGATACAGACAGAACATTTGTTATTAGTCTGAGATCTGTACACCCTTACAGGCTTACAATATACTTACAAATCGGTGTTCGTATTGTCAAGTATAACTCTATAGACGAACCATTTATCTTGGAATGATGAATTCTCAATCTACAATCAACCAAATTTTATTTGGAGTACCAAACTCCTCAATCTGATTAACCAACAAAACGATGGGGAAATGCATGCTCTCTTCGAGTTTATAGAAAAAATTATCATATTAAAACATGCCCTCTTATTATATCGACCAGAATTCGAAATTCGGGACAGGCAAATTCTTCGACACCCTGATCTCACAACCTATGACTATACCAGCAACGAAAGCTTCCCTTAACATCAAGTGTGTATTAAGCTTAATTATTTTAATTTTTCTATTATGAATCAGTCATTTAGAGAGTATCTATCTTACTTCCACAGCCTATGTTTATGGCATGTCGCAGCTGATAAGTTTTTCAAGGGCTTATTCCCAAAATCACGATTTCTGACAAAGATGTTGAAACCCGAAATATGGACTCACAATACAGAGTTTCTAGAAAAACGAGTTATTGGAAATGAGAAAGAATAACAATCGCCATATAGATCCTTATGGGATATGAAGCTGGACTTTTCGCTTATCTCGATCTCACACGGAAACGTAACTTTATTACAGTAATTGATCAACATGTACATGACAGGTGTCATCGAAGGTGCTTATAAAACATATATCCTTCCGGAAAACCTGTTATTATCTTTTTTACTTTTTTTCTTGGATCTCATTATAGCAATAACTGTGTTCACATTTTGCCCATGTTTCATTGAGTTTATGTAAATTCACATCCGTTGACATGCTCTGTGCTGTTATTTGGAGTACCAGATAACACCAACAGCAACGAAAATATTCCACCATAAACACATATACATAATATAAACTTAAATTCAATAAAATTAAAGCAAAATATGAACAAAGGACAAATTTACACAGAGGCTATGAAAATCTAAGATAATCGGAGTTCGAAATGCCATGTTCTCAACTGAGAACAAAGTATACAAAGCGGAACCCTTCTACAAACTAACGAGCTTCAAACAGGTTCAACTTAATATCGCACAATAAACTTATAATATTCGTAAAACTTCACCATAATTTTCATAAACCTGCATTTGTTTGAACCCTGTGTTACGTATTTGCCAGTCAGTTGACAACTTCTTGCACGAATATTGTGATAATGGGAACAGACACTTGAATATCTAAAATACAGCGGCAAGTTGACAATGTGTGATGAATTTGCTTTCGCAACATGTAAAACGCAGTTTTAGATCAAAACGGATACATCTTTGTGTAAATATGTAAAGATACAACAACCAGTATTAATGTTTAACAGTGAAAAAGTCATTGTTTTATTGCGTTAATTCTAACATTGAAACAAAAATATAAGGATTTCAGCGTGAAAATGCATTAAGACATTAAATTAAATGAGGTGTTTTATACATGAAGCAATCACATGAGTACAAAATGAAACAGAATCATTATTCATGTAAATATTTCCAGCGATTATCGGCAACTATCAATGGTAAAGATGGGAATGATATAATTGGTTTCTGTCATAAATAAATTCTGAACTTTCCATTACACTTTTACGAAGTATTACAATGATAATGATCCTGAATTTACGAGATCTGCATAGAAGTGCTACATGATATATTAGCCATATCATACTTATTTTTGGTGCTCATCAATGGAAAAATAAATGTTGTTAAAATATACTCTTATGTGACACATGGAAAGCCTTTCCCACTTGTAATCGTGAAGTGTATATGAAGAAAAATTGAATTATTTACAACTGTACTCTGTTATACGCGAGACCTATTGGAAGCCAAATTGACTGAATTAGAGAAAAAAACCGCTTTCCTGTCTCATTTATGATTAATTGATATCATGTACTCATTATGGACTATTTGTGATGTAAACAATACCTAAAACAATTTTCCTGATAAGAAAAATAGGGGTCCATGACATCGATGACACGTCTAACATCAAACGTATTTGTTTAATAATAACTATAAATGATCAGTATATATCTTCAGTTAAGCTTATGACAACTTTCCAGATCTTGCAAACGGAGCAGTCAAAAATAGAAATATGCCTTTGATAAGATTTTCTGAATTCAATTTTTTTTAATATTTTGTCCAAAATGTTCACACCATAACAATATTAATACTCTTTATGATTGGTTCTCTGTGAGCCAAATAATAAAGATGATAATTATTCGAGCATGGAAAAACTTAATTAAGTTGAAAATAGTAGCAATACATTTATGTATATTTGTTAATGACCCATCCATTATATGAATCAAAACCTGGATTTGTGCGTAGTCGGCGTATAGCAGTTTTACCCTGTTACATATGACATTATTGTGAACACTTGTACAAGGAAAATATTTACAGCTATGATAGAGAAATGTATTCTAATGTTTAGAAATTTTAAACCAATTTGATGATAAAAACTTATGTAAGTTAATAATCTAATCTAGGGGATATTGTAAAAGCTGAAGAAGTTTATTTTTTGTTTCCAGTCTATGCGCTATATTTTTCATTGATTTCTTCGCTCTCTAACAAATAAGGTCAGATTACGTGTTCCCATTGATTAACATCTTATTACCAAATACAGTAATTTTAATGCATATTTTTTATACAATGAAAAAATGAATCTCACAAAACATTTTTGTTTGTATCAATAGCAGGTTATCTGGCATGATATAAGCCCTAACAATCAAGTATGTGTTGAACATCATATTTACATAATACATAGACTTAACATATTTCCCTATACCCCCACCTCCCAATCCCAATTTGTCCATACATATCACAGTTATGCAACTCAACTATAAAGGTTGATCTGAGGTGGCCTTGACCGCTTTTGTAGTTTGGTTCAGCTAGTTATCGGCTACTTTGTTCTTTCGGCTTTTGCCTGGCAGCCATAATGTCTCAAACCTTACACGTCCGCTCACTTTGTCAATGTTGTCTTTGTCCGTTGTTCGGTTGCTAGTAGTATCTGCTGGAAAGAGCGATAAAAAGAGACCTCTCACAATCATGATCTTATTTAATAGCTCATGTTTAAGCTTGTTTATTATGTAACTCTATATGCTATGCATTGATTGTTTCGTTCTCAGAATTAAACCAAAAATTAGAAAACTTAAAAAGTAAAAAAACAAATATGGATTACAAAATGCAATTTTCATATATTTCAATTTTGAAAATCATTTTTAGATTGTATCTATGATAAAAGTGTTTATTTTACTTTCTAGCAAACTAATGCACTTTTAACAATCAATAAATCGATATATAAAAGTTGCTTGTTAAACCTTGAATTACCGGTCGATTCCACTTCTGGTAGTGGCGATTCCTTTCTCATCTGTGGGCGTGCATTTGGAACCGTCTTATCTTCATCCGAGTCTACCGGAGTCACTGATACGCGAACTGGAATTTGTGTATCAAGCCAATCAGACGATTCACCTGCAACGGACTCTGTTGATGATGTACGACCTTTCGAGTTAAGTGATACGTAGGACACTTCTCGACTGGCGTATGCTGGAGGCAGAGTATTCATCTCTATAGCGGCAGTGTTCTCGCTGACCGCCGGCAGGTGTTTGACCATTAATGGTTTACGTATAGGTCTGGGGAAATCATCGATGCGGAACGAGCCCGGATTTGAGGGTGGCTGACCATATTCTACTACAGCCTTGTTTGAGAAGAGATCGTCCAGCATTTCTTCGTCCGACATGGGAACCAAAGGGGGTTTCTCATCCGCCTTCTGTCTGTGTCTTAAACGTGATTAACAATGTTTTATAGTTCATCTTCTCATTATTGATCTAATATTCTTCAGCACTCTATAGAAAACGCAATGCAATTCATGCAAATAACATAACATTCAGATACAGAAAATGTATGGTGTTATATACCTGGACAATAAAGTAAATTAATAATGTATTTACCTTCTTAAAGGAATATATTCATACATTTTGATGACAATTTAAGCATTATGGCATCAGTTCCCAAATCTCGGTAAAACAATAACCATTGGTAAAGGAAAGTGTTTGAATAATTAAACAAATGTTGGGAGGTTTTATTTTCATTTTTGCTATCATTTTTGTTCATTTTAGAGATGTAGATTTGTTTTAAAAAAAAAGGGGGGGGGGGGGTTAGATTAGGTATTTACGCATTTTTTTACGTAACTGGTGCCTGTGGTATTAAAACCGTATGACAGCAAAAATGTTCTTTAACAATACAACTATTTTCATAGTTCTATGCCGTTTAAGCCGAGTAGGATACACAATAAATCATTATGTTTATGGATAAAGCAACACATGAGTATGAAACAGAATGAATAATTATATTTGTGGATAAAGCAACACATGAGAAAGACATATAATAAATTATTATGTTTGTGGATAAAGTTAGAAAAGAGAAAGAAACAGGACAAATTGTTGTATTTATGGATCAAATGAGAAATTGTTACACCTACCCATTTCGTACTGACCACTTGCAGTACTGCCACACAGCTATGAGGATCAGAGCCACCAATACAATCTCTGATGAAATAATGATAACGATGTATTGCCACAACGCCAGTCCCATTGTGCCTTCAAGGGGTCACGCCACTAATTGTGCTACGGTGATATGTGCGTGGTACTAGGATTATTTATTTCTGTTTTTTTTTTATATATATATATGTATAATTACGTCACAAATAAATTACAGTGTTTAGTTTTCAGTCTCTTCTCCGTCTGGACAAGCCGGTAACTATATCTGAAAAATAATAAGAATTGCATGTGAACAGTAATCAATAATAACAAAATGAATACTATTTTGTCGCTATCTATATTATAAATACTATATTACTGTTTGATTAAATAGATGAAGTAAATCAAATCTACCTAAACATTTCGCTAACTCATAAATGGTCTGAAATAAGAATATTTTATCCTAGACAGTAACTATCCGAACTTTATCTTGCAAGGAATAATTTGATTCCGTATATCTTAAGCTAAACAATATGGATTATTAATTTGTTCCAAGAATAATCTACTTGATTTTATAATTCAAATAGGATTATAATTTAACGTAGGCCGTACCTGGCGATATGCATTGATATACAAACATAATGACAAATCCGAATCCCTTATCGATAATGACGTCATTTTATTTCTGACCAATAGTATTTAGTATTCTTTCTGAAAACGACAAGGAAATATTTTTGGGCAGACATCACGACCGCCACGTTTTACTTTCACGAAGTAGATTTACACCTATCCTGGGTGGAAAAGATAAGTATACCTGTCAGCTAGAACCGCAGAGTTTGAAGGATAACTGTCTATACCCCTCTTGCATTTATGTGCAGTGTTCAGTTTTAAATACTTGTACATGTCATCAATATGCCTTTGTTTATACAAGGACAGGTAGAACACAATTAAACAATTGTGATGCTTGCTTTGTCATTTCACTCTAAGATAACCATGCGAGGAGTGCACTGGAGAGAGTTACGTCGGTATAATGCTGGATTTACCACATCCCGGGGTACCTGTGCGAATACAACCCAAATAGTCCACTCAAGATACCATTAATGTCCATTTAGGGATAACGTCACGTGTGATCTATAGCCTTAACAGATCCCCCTCCTCCACCCTTTTCGCTATAAGAGGCCCGCATTCCATACACGCGACCATGCTCTCAGACCTATCCCCCCAGTTCGGAATGTCACACTCACGAGTTGATTTTTCATTTTATATTGACAACAAGGGATGTCATTGAAGTACATGGTACTACAGAGCTAAAGACTGAGAAATGTTTTCCGTGTTGGAGTTAAAACGAAGCATGCTGATTTTTAACAAAAACATGGTATATTTATTGAAATGATTTGAGTAGATACAGATATTTATCTTACATAAGTGCACCTTATCCTGGAGGACGATGACATATATTGTATTACAATCAGGTCGCGTGAGGAGAGTTAATCTTTTAATGTTAGGTTACAAATGTTCAGTGCAGGAATGACCCAGCTAACATTATAACCAGAAAATATCGGATGGTTTTTACTCTTACGTCACACTTACATTTATACCACCCACTCGAATAGCAGGACACCGCCAGCCAAAGTTTTACAAATCCAGTTTACTTTTATCTTCCCTAATAAAAAGCACGTGAAACTGCTATATTTATGCTTAGTTATAAGGCGGATATGTTTAACTAAAACCTATAGATTGACCATTGCTCCCTTTATTACTTACAATAGTTCATGTTAATGTGAAAGTGAAAGTAGAATCGACTGATGTAATATTCTGCCCGAAACAAGACATCTGTATATTTTGTTTTCGATCGGGATATATCTACGCATCTAGTACGTAAATATATATAAATACAGTACACAAGTGTTTCTGTTTACATCCTTTTTGATGATATCCCCCATCCCCCACCTCCCACCCCCTTTCCTTCTCGATATTTCATTTTCTACGTCCAAAAACCTTATCGTGTCAATTTAACTTAATTAACAATTATTTGTTTTTATTTTGCATGAAGTTGGGAAGTAACGATACTGACAAACCACATGGTTTTTGTTTACAACGAGTATATCTAAAAATTACATATCAGGAGTTTAATGTGATGTGATGAACAAAATGAAAATTTCAACACTAAAATCATATTTGTCTTGTTGACCCGACCCACAGAAAAAGAATGAAAAAACAAATACCGACAATGTCAACAGAATTTTAATCCAAACTCAAATGCCATGAAAGAAGTTATTACTTTGAGACGAATGAAAAGATAAAAGGAGAACAAAACACAGAACCATGTGCTACGGAAGAGTAAGCGTCTTCTGCTTCTGCAGTTGTAAACACGATAGGCATAATAAAAGGAGAAGGGTCAATACATGCAAAGACATCTATTAGTCATTACAAGACATTTTATTCAAAGAAAACTTTATCTTCGCTCTTTCGATTTATACAGGTTATCTGCTGCACATAGAACCTGTCATATTGACGATGAGAGACTACATTGGTAACTTCATGGTCTCCGTAATATGAATACTGAATATAACATGTATGTGTATTCATTTCAGAATTTTGTTGCAACCGGAGGAATATTGTTTCATAAGCGCGTCTTATCTCATATATCTATATATATATTCTTCAATAGATGTCGAAAGGTACACCCCTTTTCGTCATGTTTCGCAATGTTTATTTAAACGAAGATGTTAGCAAACAAATAAAAATACAGACGGAGTGATGTGACTATGTATAAACATAGCCATCAGCCATCCTCTGCTCAACGCCAGATTCCAGCGTTAATCCTATAGTAGATGCCCACCTGCTAATCTGACAGTGTTGTCATGGATACCTTGTCATTTCAACAAACTGCACCACAGTAATCGTGTTATAAGTGACACATGTACCGACAAATTTTACTCACAGAATCAGGTATTCGGTCATTAATTGCCACTCAATTTCAAACATCGCGTGTGAAATGACAATGAATGAGAAAACATGTCTATCTACACAACGCCGACATGCAATACAGGTCTGTCACATTTTCTCTATTATACTTATGGAATGGTAAATAGGTCAAGTGCTATTTTTGCATTTATAACACGACATTTTCCAGAACATGTAAATTACGTAAAACACGAAACTGACATATACCAAAAGGAAACTCAAGACATCAAAAAGTGACAAGACCCATTAACAAGATTGACAGCGACAGAAAGTATCCTATTTTCATTAGGTCTAAATGATAGACAACATGATAACTAGTCTATCTAGCACATGTATTCTATTCCCGCAACATATTTCAATACCTCATCCCCTCGGATCATAAATCGAAACATAGCGGTTGGCAAAATGTTATCAAAACAGAACTTTGATAGATAAGATTTGATTGACTTTATAACTTCATAGGAAATTCTAACAGGGTCTGATTTACGTACCTGTAGGACAAAGTGTTGATAAACAAAACATTAAAAGACATACCTTATATATTGTAACTCTATAGCTGAAGTCGTTAATGTTTGGAGAAAGTCAACCAGATGTTAGACTATAATCTGGTCTAACATGCAAGATTGACGGGCATCGAAGATGAATGCAAATATAAATATTGTAGAGGGAACGTTTAAAAAAATATGATAAATGATTGTAGATTTTAGATGCCAGAACACTATCGTTTGAGGCATTGACATACATCTGAAAATTAAATGCACACATATTTTTAGTGAGTTTGTTTAGTAGTCGGGTCTTTTAAAATTCTAAAGAGTGGTTTATTCGTGAGGTAATGGAATATGTATTTGTTGTCAAGGCTTCTATATCACGGAATAACTTATCTTTAAAAAAAAATGTACAGCAGAAATTGTTTATTGCAAAAATTGAGAAATCGATCATAAAGGGAGATCTAGATAAGATACACGAAGACAAATATCTAGAGCGAAAAGCAATATATAATTGTATCAAATGAGAGGCTTGTCTTTACCACGGTAGTAGGCTCCTGTGGCTGATCCAGCTTTGCTGTTTTGCAAAATTCATCCGATTGGGGTTTCAACACTATTGATGAATAGATAGAGTCGAAACATCTACATGATGCAGTTTCTTGAATTATCTCTCACAGTTAAAACCCTAAATTCGTGTTAAAGGGTGTTGTCTTGTATAGGCGTTTGTTCATTTATACGACTTTTAGGTAGGTATTTTCTTGCCACTTATGTAGGACATGTTACATAACTTCTGACCATGAGGCATCTGATGTGCAATGCAGAGCATGGAATTTTGGACAAATTAATCTTTTTAAAAATGAGTAGCTTAACTAGATCTTCACTTATAAGTTAACCAACATAAACTGCTTTCCAAGAAGAAAGATGCTGAACGACATATTTATCGATTACCGGTTAAAAAGACAACATTGAATTTAATTTTGTGATAATTTTATTGTTATCAACCGATGCATCATTATATACCATGACATTTCTTGGATTAACCTGAAAGCAGAAGATACTTTTTCTTCCCGAACCCATTATTTTCATATTATATTTGCTTATGTGCTTTCCATTGTTTATTTTGCCCTCGGGCATCGATTATGCTTTTAATAACAATTTGTTTACATAACAAAAATCTGTTGTTGTTGTTTCTTTGAATATGCAATCGTGTTTTAAATATTTTGGGGAAACATCACATGCGACGAAAGTGGTTGGCATTTATTATCAATATTTCCTAATAATTCTGACGTTGTAACATGATCGTATAGAAACAATACCTTTCATTATATGCAATGAAATCTACTTTTGATTTCATCCATACAATGCGTACAAAGAAATATAAACAAAAATAGTGCAATCAGCTGTAGTTTGAAATTCTTTTTACCGGTAATTGATCTCAGATAAGTACACATCAAACAGTATGGAACAGAATTACGTGAAATATTTATTTATCTAAATGCTTTTATAATCATTTAGCAAATATAACATTGGCTTGTTCCTTTACAGTTGAAAGGTAACAAAATATAATAATGCTTGATGTGTTTTCCAACCTCATTTTCGTTTTTTTCGAGAGGTATTTGAAAGCATTTACACAAAATAAACACCTATTCATAAAGTTTTGGTT